GGTTTTGGATTGCATGATATAAGTTTAAATTAGCAGAATTTTCTATGAATTATTTATAAATTTGTTTAATTTTCATTTATTTAAATAATATTTTAATATTCATTTTTTAAATAAATCAAATATAAATATAAAAAAATTTCATTCATTTATATTCATGAATAAATTTATTTAACATTTATAAAAAATTCAAATAATATTTTATTTATAAAAAATGACTACTTTATGATTAAATCTTTTTTAACAAGATTAATCACAATTTGATATTAATACAATGAAATGTACTCTTAATATATATTAAAAAATAATTTCTCGATGTTTTAAAAATATTATCATAAATATAATTTTTAATCATCTACAATGGATAATAAACAAGTTACAAGGGAGATTTTTTGTTTATAATCTTTTTATCCCACATAACATGAAAATTATTAACTAATATAGGAAAGGAAACTCTTTTGTAAATAGACATGACCTCTTCATTATTAAGAGCTCAAATCATTGATTTTTCAAACTAATTTCTTAATTATTAATTTATGTTTATTTATTTATATATTTATAAATATATTCATTCAACATTTACAAATAAAATAATTTAAACGAATCGATCCAAAATTAAATTTAAAATATTTTAAAATCTAAACGAAACGAACTCTAACATAGTTTACAAATTTCTTATCAATCACAAATAATCTTAAAAATAAATAAACGAAACTATGAACATAATAATATTTATTTATATTCAATTTATTTACTTAGCTGTCAATCATCCAACGTAAAAAGAATTTAAGACCCGCCAAACTAAACCAAACTAAACAATAGAAGAGCGAAGCAGACGAGGACCCTTCACCCAAACCAACCTTGCTTGTAACTTGGACCCACTCTTTGTTACAATCTAAACTTTTTTGGCCTAATGCTCCTTTTTTACTTTTCTACCATTTTTTTTTTCATAGTAAAAGAAACAGTACATATTCGAATAACTTTTTTTTTTCTTTTGAGTTTGAAGTTATCCAATCTTGACATTTAATTCGGACATTAATAAAAAATTCTTATTATATGCATTAATACATGTAAGTAATATATTAATATGTGTCTTGCTCAATTGTAAGTGTGTATATAAATTATTAAAAAATCAATTTGGAATTAATCTCTTGTCTTAATAAAAAAAAAAAAACATAATGTCTCCAAAACTTTTTTACGTATATACTTGATGTGTTAGTAAAAAATATCATGTGATTTTTTAAAAAAGTATTAAATTTTTAATTTTATAATTAAAAATTAAATTCTGACAATTTCCCATTTAATGAGATTATACTGAAATTAATGATACATTGCAACCCATTTAATTAATTCACCCATGAATCGAAATGCTTACAAAAGCAATCTCAAAATAATAGAGAACAAGATTCCCAATTTCATAAACTTTTTAAATATATGCTAAAGCAATGACAAACACTTAACAAATTAACTCCACAAATGCTGGGAAGCATCATCTTCACGCTGCCTCCAAAACATAGGATGCTTTCTTAATTAAAATATTTTATTTAGTATTATTTTATAAGTAGGGATGTTATTAAATTTTTTTAATATTAAAATTATTAAAAATTAAATTTTACTTACTGAAATTAAAAATTAAACATAACTCACATATCTCATTGACTATTGACTATACTTATATTTTCGAATACTCATATATATATATATATTTTTTGATGTGACATTCAAATAGTTATATATATATATATAAACATTCTTTCTGAGTAGATCATATATATAACAAGACAACCGTTTGGTGCCAAGTTGGACATTACTCATCATCACCAATAATAAAATGCTTGACAATTGAATTAAGAAACAAAAAAAAAAAAAAGGGGAAAGAAAAGTGAAGATCAGCTTTGGTCGGGAGAGTGAAGGTTGGGACTGGGTTGTTGTCGTCATGGCTAGTCGATGTGGGACCACTTTGGGTCTTGCCGGTAGCTACACGTCTCTTTGCCCATCCCTCCCTCACACCCCTTTTGTTGTTGTCGTCGTCTTCTTTGCCAGGGTACTTGTCTACTCTCTCACTGTTTCAAGTGTTTTTTTTCTTCTTTTTGGGGACATTTCTACGTTAACGAAGCTTTTACTTTTACCAAAGAGACAAGGACTTCGGTAAAATCATTGAACCAGGTGGTGGTGGTGGTGGTGGTGGGTCTAGTTGGCTGCTTCTGCCCTGAAGCAAAGCAAAATCTATGGTTGGGGACCCAAGGCCAGCCTGTGTTTTTTGCTAATATTTGGTGATTCTCGCCAACCGATTAAGAAATACTGCAAGTCTGTTAGTACAAGTATATATATAACTGATCATTGCCACTGCCAACTGCCAACATTAGGTGTTTAATTTATCTCTTTTAAAAATGATAAAGAATTAAAAATTCATCGAACATTTAGCTCGAATATCACAACATCTGTAATACCTAAAAATTTATTTGAGTTCAAAGAGTAACACTTTTTTCTAAAGAGATCACAAATAGATTAAGAATTTTAACAATTGATAAGACATTTATAGGACAACTAACAGTTTAAGCCACGGAGTTAAGGGTCCCAACTCAACCATTTAACTATATATATGTCTAATTCCCCCCTCGAGCGTGAGCCAGTCACCCTATATTTCAGCCTAAAATAATGAATCCCCCATGTTGCACCACGACCAGCGGGCCATCAACAACTATTGGACGGTTCATTTTCCTGATCATCGAATCTTATCAAAATCAAGCCAGCTCACCGGGCCATCAACAAGTATTGGACGGTTCATTTTCCTGATCATCGAATCTTATCAAAGCCAGGCCAGCTCACGGCACACACTCTTTGGGCAAATGTCACATTCACAGTTAAAATACAATATTCTGAAACAACTTTTTTAAGATTGTCTTAACCCATGCCAGATAGACCCCAATGACAGGTTCATCTATTCAAAAATTCATTATGGGATTCAGACAAGTTGTCAATTTGTTTTTCTTTCAATTTCAAATAGGAAAAAGATTAAAAAAATAAAAAAGGAAATTCCCCATGTGTTTTGCTCCTGTTAGAGTTCGAAAAATGGTGCACGCAATTGCTCCTGAGCTACGATAGAAATTAAGGTAGCATTAGCATCAAATGAAAATGATGTCGAGCTAAATAAAGCAATATTATGTTGTTTAAAAAAAAAGAGCCTCTTTGGCTCGTTGGACGAGTCGATGTTAAAAGTGTGCAAACATGAAAGGAGGGAGAAGCTTTGGTAGTCTATTAGTCTTCGATAGTAGATTTTTAACATTGATGTTACCAACTTTATTCATAATTTATATTTTTTTTTACAAAAAAATTTATCTTAAAATATGTGTTAAATTTTAAATTTCAAGTGATATACAAATCAATTAAATTAAGTATTAATTTTAATTCCATCCATAATTTTATATTAATTAAAAAATAAATCATGTATTAATCTCTTAATTTCATTTGTAAAATTAAAAATTTTTACTGTCAATACATTAAAAATAAATTTATAATAAATTTTGAATACATTCACAAAGTGAATTATTACATCAATAATATTATAATTTATAAAAATATAATCATAAAATAAAGATATACAATGAAACTTTACCTGAATATTTGATTCAATAATAAATAAATGTAATCTTTTATCTGAAAATCATTTTCGAATCTTATTTCCTTTCAATTAAAAAAAAATTAAATTTGTTTGGTAAGAATATATTGGAAGTTAATCTCGCAGTTAACGCGGGGATCAAGTAACTTTATAATGAAAGATTCTATCAAACTAGTTTATCTTGAATCAGATACCTTTGCAATTTTATAAACAAAGAGATAAATATTAAACTTTAGATTAGGCATAACTCATACGCTTGCATGGGAAAGTCAAGGAGTCGATGCTTTGTAGGAAATTCCATTTGAATAGAGCCAGCAAAGTTGCTTGAAAATGATGATCTGATCTCTCTCTCTCTTTCTCTCTCCCCACTTTCCTTTGCAATTATCCTATTCGCATTTCGCTTGAAAATTTCTCAGAATCTCCTTTTTCAGTGATAGAATGAGAGAATAAATGAAAATGCATGTTCAAATGCATGTAGCAAGGTGTTGTTTGCTTCCATATTGTTAAATTTACCTTTTTTTTTTCTTTATTGTTTTGTTTATATTTTATCTAAATGATCTTTCTACACGGTAAATAAAAAAAATGATCATATTCTATTTGAGAAAAAAAAACAAAAATAAAAATTAAATTGAAATTTTCTAACCTGAATTTCGAGGTTACAGTTTGCAGATCTCTCCAGCCTTATGGGCCTTTTAATTTTGAAACAATGAGACAGATTTTAAAGTTTTATCAAATGTGAGATCAAAGGCCCAATGGACACATAGCATTTATTTCCTTTATTTAGATAATTAGATTAAACTAGAATTAGATGTATAAACATGGTTGGGCTCTATTAATTATTATTAACAAGAGCTCGAGTAATTTAAATAATAACTTTAAACGAGTTTTATAATAATCAAATTTAAATAATTTATTATTTTATTTTAAAATTTTAAACTATTTAATATTATGTATAAACATAACTAAAGTAAATCACCTTGATTTTTGAGTTTGAACTCGTTAAATTTAATCAAATTAAATTTGAATTTGAGAAACTTAGTTATTATTTTAAAAATGAATTTGAACCAAATTGGAGCATTTATATCAACTTATCTTTTATATTTGGAGGTGCATGGTAGTTTGACGGTGAGATTCAAACTTGTGAAATGAACAAACTAACTATAAACCTGATTACGATTACATTGGGTGAAAATTTTTCGTTTATGAATTGTTTATTTAGTAATTATAATTTAATATGTAATGTTTTATTATATAAAATGAAATTTATTTTAATTTTTTATGATTAAACCTTAGAAACATTTGAGTTGGATGTCATGTCGGTTTCCGTCTTCTGGCACGTGTTCTATTGTTAGTCGTCTTACTCTTACTCTTAACTTTCACCTCAGGCAAGAAAAAACGACAAAAAAAAACGAAAAAAACAAAACGGAACTGCTCAGCTGTTCTCTCTAGAAATCTTACTGACCGTTCAGTTCCCAAAACGCAAAAATCCTCAGAAATAAAGGCACTTTTTATCTCAAAATAAAAAACTTTAAAAGATATAATTTTGGGTAATTTACTATATCTTTTTTTTTATTAATTTTAATTTTGGGTAATTTACTATATTGTCTCAATTAATTTTAATGGGGAAGAGGAAGAGAAGTTCCCAACATAACAATCTCGACCATCCTTCTCCTTCGGGTACGTTTCTCTCTCTCTATTTTTTTATATTTATTGTTTCAATAAAGTTAACCTTTTTTCTTTTTAATTTTGGGTAATGCATAATGTTGGCCAATTTTGCAAGAATTTGGTGCAATAATTCTTGAGAAATGAAATAAATTTTGGTGTACCTGCTCTTTTTGTCTTTCTTTTTCTTTTTTTTATTCTTTCAATTTTGTTGATCAGTTTTCTGTTCAAGAAAAAGAAATGGGGTTTTCAGGTTTGTTGAAAGTTTTACTTTTTATTTTATTTTATTTTCTTTCATCTGTATTTGATATGGGTCACTTTGTTAATAAGGAGGATTTTGCCTTTTGTTTTCTCTGTTGATTTCTTTTGGTTTTAATGTCTGGAATTGCTAATTGAGGCTACTCTTTCTGTTTATTTGTAATGGGAATGCTTGTTATTGATATTTTCTTCTCAATATTTGATATGGATTATGTAGTTGATTTGTGGGATTTCATGGGATTTCATGCATTATGAGATTTGAAGAGGAAAGGAGGTTTATTTTGCTAGTAAATAGGCTGGACAATCATATTCTTGTATTTTCAGAGCATGCATTCCCTTGCGTGGTTTGTTTTGTTGATATATATATTTGTTTTTGTTGTTGATATATATTTTAGGTGGCTTAATCTGTTCTTCTTTGCCATTTTTTTTCATGAACTTATTATATTGTATTTTGATCATACTAGCCTCTTTGCTATTATGAAACTTACAAAATTCTTTTGATAAATATTGCAAAGTTTGTATGTTGTTATAGCTCTGAATGTCAAACATTTATTGTCAAGGATGATTAATGGAATTATATAGCTTACAAACTTAAATTTCTTGAACGGTTTTGCCGTCTATCTTTTTCTTCTTCTTATTCTTATTAATTTTGTGGTCTGTTTTGTTTGATTGGAAACAGTCTAGGTGTTCATGTATGCCTTTCAAGTTTGACATCTTATTACTGAATGTAGGACCTTTGGATTGAATCTATGTATATGGTATCATCTAAGCATTTTGAAGACCCTTGAATGTAGCAAACTTGAATCATATTTCATGTATCCTCCTTACAGGTTCTTCAAATTTGAATCATAACCAAGTGAACCTTAACTTAATTTTCTTCAATGGTCTTTTTTTTTTCTGTTTCTATTTTTACTTGTCTTTTAATTGTAACATTTTTTTCATTACATTTTTTTTAGCAATTTGCTACATTTATTTCTGAATTGTTATCCCTATTTTTGGTTTAACATGGTTCTGCTACCTTCACGTGGTTATGATGAGATTTTGGTTATTATCTTTGTCTCAGTAGAAGAAACATGTTCATGCAATGGAAAATTTGGGTTATCTTCAGCTTAATAATCTGTTATTATGAAATATCTAAGAATTCTTCCCATTTAAATGTATACAATTAGAATGTGAATAACATTGTGCTTCTTATTGAATATTGCAGAAGATATCCCATGCTCAACAGGGACAGAGCTATTATCCAAAGAGGTTTTGTTCTTTTCATCATTCATTTTTAAAAATTGTTCTTTCTCCAATTTTTTTTAATCGACAGTAGGAAATGTCGGTCAGAATAGTTCTTATCTTTATGATTTTACTACTCCATCTTTGTCAACTGAATGGTCTGCATTGTTTGGTTGATTTTTTTTTCTTTCTCTTTCTTTTACAGCATTCTTCGAATTTGGATGCTGGCATGGATGTTGGAGATAGTTCTGTGAAGCTATGCAATTCCAACTCTTCTGTAGCTCAGCGCCATTGCAATCTTGGGCGTTCAATATTTTTAAAAAGATCACGCCATTACTATGGCCATCACTATTCACGCCGAAACTCTGGCAGCCTCAATAATCCATCAACTTCTCATGGCAAGATTAGTCCTTTACATGATGAGAGATTATCCTTTAAGTTTACTCAATACAACCCAGAGTCTAGATGCCATGCAGGTTGTATGCGTGTCTTTTGTTTGTTTTCTTTCCAAGAACCTGTTTGTTTCGGCAGCATGTGGCAGTTGGGAAATTTGAAGCTTAAAAATTTCAGTGTCCTCTGCTTATTTGATGCCACCTTATTGACTTGAGTTTTCCAACTTTTGCAGATGGAAAAGCATTTGGCAGACCAGAAAGAATTAGGTCTAGTTCCTTGGTGATGGATGCAATATCACCTGACAAGATGAAGATGGTTTGTGGCATATGTCAGAAGCATTTGAGGCGGAAACCTTATTTTCTCGGAAATATGCTGGCTTCTGGTGAATTCTCTGTTGTGGCAGTTCTAGTTTGCGGGCATGTATATCATGCGGATTGTTTGGAAGAGAGAACAAGTCTTGATGATCGGCGTGACCCGCCATGTCCTTCATGTTCAGGTTCACCATCACAAGTTTGATGCTTCTAGTGGAAAGTGATTGTACAGATATCGACACATTTATCATACTAATTTTCTAGAACTATAGAACATGCTTAATTAGAGGGCACAAATGTAGGATGATGTGTGTTATGATCTAAGCTGAAGTTTTACAGATTAGGATGTTAACCATGCATTGTGTATTGCTAATATATCAACAGTTGAACTGAATTGCCCGCTTTAAAGGGAAGAGATTCCTTTTATAGGAACCGACAATCAGTGGACAGTGGTTTCCAAACTCCACAGTACGGATGTGCTGGTTCGAGAACGTTGACTTGCTGTTGCTTGTGGTTTGATCCTTTAAAACATACGGGATTGCACATATAAAGACCGCATAGCGCAGTGGATTAGCGCGTTTGACTTCGGATCAAAAGGTCGTGGGTTCGACTCCCACTGTGGTCGATTTTAATTGATTCTGTTTTGCAACTTTTTAGGCCCAGTCAAAACCCGAATCTTTTTTAATTAAATAATTAATAATAAATGATGTTTGTGGGTCACAGTGGTTGAAAACCCTGGTGAAAAAGATGGTTCACCTTTGAAGTTTTCGGATATCTTTTTTTGAATTCAAGTGAGAAGTGAGGGAATCTAACATTATAAGCTTAATCATAGAATAGAGGAAGTGAACAGCTAATAAAAATAATGACACCAAGTTTTCTTCTTTTTTTTTTTTATTTTAGAAAATTCAATAACAAATTTGTTTTCTTTTTTCTTGTTGTCACGCCAAGTTCATTCAATTTCAACCCTCTTAAGGATTTATGCATAATATTTGATCCACTTGTTACTTCCTACGCAATCACAAGCTGACTTTGTCTGTCCAACACATCAATTCTGTTGTTCCAAACAGCTTATATCATCAACCTCAAAGCTGGGGTCCTACTTCTCCAATGGGGCTGGTAGGTGGTCTTTCCCATCACAAAAGGCTGAGATGAAGAAATTTATGAATGTTGAGTAGAAGCTTGAAATTTTACCCCAAAAAAAAAATTTATTGGGTCCCAGAATTGATATAATTCAAGAAATCTAAATTCAACTGTGCTTCTAATTCTAATTTTATGAATTGTGCAGCAAGTAGCTTGGTTTATAAATCCATTCTAATTAAAGGTCATCCGATCTCCAAGTCTTAAATTAATATAAATATAAAGAAAAATCAACTTATATTAATCTAAAATTTTTTAAATTATAAATTAAGGGTGGAATTTTAAATTATAAAAATAAATTTTTATAATTTTACTTGTCTACTTAATAATTAAAATTTTTAAATATATTTTAATTGGACGTGCGCAATTTTTTAAATCTACTTCCTAGGGTTTGATGCATTAGATAATAATCTATGTTGCTTATATTTGCAAAGACTATTCAATATTCTTTTTCACTGTGTGGGCATTTTCTTCAAATTCTTTTTATTCCAAAATTTTAAAAAAAAATTAGAGCCATGATTTTATTTTTCGAGTATTTTCTTTTACTTAGTCATGAAATAAAATGAGGAAAAGTCAGACCGAAAAACTCGCTGAATATGCCACTTGAGCTTAATTTATTGTAATTAGGGAGGATGAGAATTTATAAATTTTTAGATTTGGGTAAAGTTTATAAAAAATTGAAATACATTAACCCCACTCAACTCTCAAGTGGCCAAATACACGCTTTTGAGAAGTTGCAGCTGCCATTAATTTTAAATATTTTAAAAATAAAATATAATGAAAATCATAATATATAAAACATCAATCGATTAATTAAATAAACAACCAACAAATGAACCGACATAAATTTAATATCAAATTAAATTAAATTCATACATGATAAAATGTGAATTTAAAATCTTAAAATTTTATGAAATATTAAATTTTTATAAAAATATAAATTTTTATCCAAATTTTTATTTTTTAATATAAAAAATGTCATAATTTAAATAATTAAAATATAAAAAATTAAAAATATTAAAATTTAAATATTAAATTTATTAAATATTATTTTTTAAATATAATTATATGAATTAATGAAATTAAATAAAAAATAGGTTTAATTTTCTTTCCTCGTTAAGTAATATTAGATTTTTTAGAGTATTTTTAAAGTAAATTTTGTTTGTTTAGAAAGGAAAATAAAATCGTTTGAAAAAATCTAAGTTAAAATAGAGGAAAACCAAAAGAAAACAAAATTTTTCGTCGATTAAAATAAAAAACAAAACCCCTTCAAAACAAGTACTACTATTTTTTTTTTTTTAAGTATAAATCATATTAAAGATTCGAATCTTCCCGTTCGAACATTCTAAAACAACATGCGAATCTGACGGTTATAAATTGATTAAAACCCCACACATCAAACATCAAAGCCTTAAAATTTTCACCAATAATAATTATTAACTTCCATCGGCCGACCTTAGTCTTCCACGTTTGGCCAACTTGCAATCGGCATAAGCCTTTTAGCATATCATTTCTTTTCTCTTCTGTCGTAAGCCTCTGTCTCTTTCTCAGTCTCTTCATCATATTTCTATCTAAAACCTCCATTGCAACCCCCTTCCCCACCGGAGATCTCCCATTTTTCGGCGGTGGGAAAAGGGTAGTTGAGAGTTACGACAGTTAAACTCTGAAAGGGTCCTCTTGTTTGTTGGTATCTTGCTTTCTTTTCTCTTGGTGGATCTTTTATTTTTTGTCTCCGGCTGCCATGGTGATGAAGGTGGCGTCGCCAAAAAACGTTGCTTCCATCACAGAGAAAGTATGGCAGAGAGTTTATGGGAATCATGGCAGTAGCAGCAGCCGTTATCATCATCATAGTCATCATCATAAAAGGAGATGTTGTTATGAGAGTGAAGATGAATACGAGGATGATGATGGGACCATACAATTGATGCAGATGGGTGCTGAAAGAACCAAGAATGTGCTGATTCTCATGAGTGATACGGGTGGTGGCCATAGAGCTTCAGCTGAGGCCATCAGGGACGCCTTTAGAATTGAGTTTGGAGATGAATACAGGGTAATTTGCTTGTTTCTGTTATTGCTTTCCATGGGTTCGGTATTGTTTTTGGTTCAGTTTTGTTTCTTTCATGTTTTTTATTTTTTTTTACAGGATTCAAAGCTTCTGAGAAAAAAAAAAAAACCCTTGCCTGCAAATTATTTGTTTTTTATGATGATTGATTTTGATGATATTATGTCCATGTGAATTTTTGTTTTGTTTTGTTTTGTTTTTAATAGACCTAACGCAAAGTTGTCAATATCATACAACGCCATTTTTATTGTTTTTCTTCTTCTTGGACTTTTCTGTGTTTCATCCCGTCTCTACTTCCTTTTTAAAAATCATATTAAGCCATTTTTTTAAAAAAAATATATCCAATCTGTTCATCTAGATCTTCCAATTTAATTTCTCAGTTAATGAATTTTCTTATGCAATTAATTCTTCAATCTTTTCCTGTTAACGTTCTTGCAAATTTCTCCCCTTTTTTCCTCTAACAATATTATTAGTTGAATTCTGCTTCAAATCCCAAAATGTGGAGAAGTCTGATGTTCTGCATCTAATTTACACTTTAACATTTGAGTCCTCAGCTATATATATATATATATATATATATATATATTTCTGATGCTTTTGCATTTTAAATTAAGCATTCTTTCCTACGAGTTTGTTTTTCTAACAATCCGGACTCCGGGTGACATCTTTTTCTTTCAGATATTTGTGAAAGATGTTTGGAAAGAATACACAGGCTGGCCATTAAACAACATGGAGAGGTCCTACAAGTTCATGGTGAAGCATGTACAGCTATGGAAAGTCGCCTTTCACAGTACCTCTCCTAGATGGATACATAGCTGCTATCTTGCTGCCATTGCTGCCTATTATGCCAAGTAGGTTAATCGTCTTCATTATATTTCATCTTTCAGTTTCACTATAATTTGATTGAAAGAATTCAAGTAGGTCAAGATTACTAATTCATATTTTGTTATCTGTCATTTAAGGGAGGTAGAGGCAGGCCTAATGGAGTACAAGCCGGACATTATCATTAGTGTGCACCCATTAATGCAACACATTCCTCTCTGGGTTCTTAAATGGCAAGGCCTTCAAAAGAAAGTGGTTTTTGTCACTGTAATTACAGACCTAAATACCTGCCACCCCACATGGTCAGTTGACATAGCTATAAGTTCCGAATTTCGATTTTATATCCATGTTCTTTAATAGCAAGCCGCCTGAATATCTTAACAATAGGAATACTGTTCAGGTTTCATCCTGGGGTTAATAGATGCTACTGCCCGTCAAAGGAGGTAGCCAAGAGAGCATTATATGATGGCCTTGAAGAGTCCCAAATCCGGGTTTTTGGTCTGCCTATTCGGCCTTCTTTTGCTCGTGCAGTTCTTTCCAAGGTGAGGATCGTAGACATAATATAATTGGTCTATATGGTTGCTTTAGTTGGAGGGAGTTCTGATTTTTGTTATGCATTTTCTTTCTTGGTTTTGTAGGATGACTTAAGAAAAGAGCTAGAGATGGAACCTGATATCCCTGCGGTTCTGCTAATGGGAGGGGGCGAAGGAATGGGACCTGTTAAGAAAACAGCTCTGGCTCTTGGCGAATCACTATATGATAAAGATCAAGGGAAACCAATCGGGCAATTAATCATAATATGTGGCCGAAACAAAGCCCTTGCCTCTACATTGGAATCAGAGGAATGGAAGATCCCGGTGAAGGTAATTTCATTTTGTTACTTGAACTTACCACATAAAAGCATAAGACAAGCAAACTAGAACAGTCATTAAACAAAGTTTTCCCTCCACTGTAGGTCAGAGGGTTTGAGACTCAGATGGAGAAATGGATGGGAACTTGTGACTGCATAATTACAAAAGTAAGTACATGAATTTCAATTTAAACTGCCCTATATTTATACACATTCTTGCTTAATGTACATAGCTAGACTAATCTGTCTCCATGAATTGCAGGCTGGTCCTGGTACCATTGCAGAAGCCTTGATCAGGGGGCTTCCAATTGTTCTCAATGACTTCATTCCAGGACAGGTCAGTCACCAACTTTTCTATTAAAAACTGCATTATTTAGGAGAAAGTTTCAATGGCTTCTTGTTTTGCTATTAGTAACCTTTACCCTTCATTTGGTGATTTCAGGAAAAGGGCAATGTACCTTATGTAGTAGAAAACAGAGCAGGAGTATTCACCAGAAGTCCAAAGGAAACAGCTAGAATTGTGGCGGAATGGTTCAGCACAAAGACAGATGAGCTGAAGAGAATGTCAGAGAATGCTCTTAAACTAGCACAACCCGAGGCCGTATTTGATATTGTGAAGGACATCCACGAGCTTGCCTTGCAAAGAGGGCCTCTAGCCAATATTCCTTATGACTTGACATCATCATTCACAAGCTTTATTTAATAGTTGGATAACATCTAAATATCTTCCAAATATAACTCAGATTTATTCTCTAGTAAACCCTGTACAGGTAAGCTTTAATATAGCATCATTCTTTGGTCTTAGAGGTTTTGTCCAAGAAAGAGCTGCAAAATTCTGCTAAAACTAGCACTGAGTTCTGTAAGTCAGCTCTGGGGACTGGATGTAAGTTAGGTTATTGTAAAAGTTGAAAATGTTGTAAATTATGATTTTGCAATGTCATAGGTTTTTGTTTTATTTTTTTGTAACAAAGGAGCCATAGGAAAAAAGTTTGCTTATTTGGGACTTGATCCCAACACTTGCAAGGTATTATCTTTTAAAGATAATTGTACGAATCATCTGACTTTTGGATTCTCCAGGTTTTTGTTTTTTCCTATCTGAAAATGGCATTAATTTTCTGCTCAGATATTTGGTTTTTTATCTTACCCAACCACCTTTGTTTATGTGTAAAATGAACAGTGTGCTAGACTTGGAATGAATGACAGTTGTTCCAAGCTTTCTTCCAAGTTAAGGCAAAAATGTAATTGGCAGTCGAGAACTTTTCTATAAAAATTCATTGGCTGACAGGTATAAATCAACATCACTTCCCTTAAATTCGCTCATTCAAAGCCAACAAACCGTGTGACCCTGCAACATCTGCTTTTCTGGTAGACTTCCACGACTACAAGTAGTCTTTTTAGAATATTAAACAATAAGCATCAACCACCAATGGGATGGTTTTAATATATTTGAAGTTAACATCAAAACATTAATAGGCAGTGTACCGAAAAACAGTAACATCATCAGGAAAGCCAAAGAAAGAGAAAACGTTTTCAAGAGGTTGTTGGACTCTGATGATAAAAGGGAATGGTAGTTTTGACTCTTCATTAAGGGGTTAACACAAGATATGAACAAAATCTACGTAAACGATCTTGACAAAGTCTTTAACATGTTGTTGTGGTTGTAGCTAGAAAGCTTGATGACCTAAAAAATTTACAAGATGGTATGGTATGAGCTGTATAGTTTTTCACTTTTTTCTTGGTTCAAGCTAAGAGACTAAAGAAGCCAAGTTGTCAGCCTGTGACTGTGTCTGGTTGGTGGTATGATGGCTAGACTGTTTTGTTTTGACTCATCAACCTTACCTTAGTGGTGCCATGTGTGGGTAAAAGGGACATGAACAAGGTCCAAAGAGGTTTGATTTTGATTGAATTCTTCTATATACAGGAATAAGTAGTCATTATATCACAGTGGAAAATCCCTAATTGAGTTCAGAAATAAACAGATATTGAACACAGGAGCTTCGCCTGCGACTTGTTGACTGGGGCTAAAACTAAGTCTAGTGTATTAAAAAAATGGTTGGAAAATTGTTTTCAGCGCCAACCAACATATTGCAACGTGGGGCTGATACCTGAAGCACTCTGTATATTTTTATTTATTTCTTTCTTTCTTTCATACTACTAGTTTCTTTTACAATTGTTTTGATTGGTACAACGTGAAAGAAGCTCCGAGCACAAGGTTGAAAGATACAACTGTCCTGACCAACTTCACGACAGCGCCAGCTCATAAACAGCTGATACCCAAACGTCTCAGACACTTGTGGCCCATGCTAATACCAAAGAGTAGGCCCGATGAACGGCAGCCATAGTCAGCATTACATATCTTTTCTCTCATGACAGTTGGTTTCTTTGCGTTCCAGGGCTTGTAAACATTTCATGTCCAAGGGGACTAAGGGGTTGCCGATAGATGCTGAATCTAATTTACGATTTCACATTGTATTAATAAACTAACTTTTCTTGGCTATAAAAAGAGAATTAATTAAGTATGACACCTTAAACAGGAAAGACCAGCTTGTGGGGGCCTGCTGTCGATCTTGCGTGGGTGTTAGGCCTTTTTCTTGCAGATCTTCTTTCTTAGCCTTCATGTTTTATTCTTGGTTTGGGCCTTGTAGTTAGACCTTCTTCAGAGTTCAATATCATTCTTATGGTAGTTGCAGAAAATCAGCTCTATGGCCCAGTTAACTAGTGGCCTCATTGCAAAGGCAAGAGCGGAGATTGCTGTTGAAAGCGTTTGTTGGCAGTAAGTTGCTCGATCCTTTTCTTGTTTTCCACCATATCCACTATATGATTGCATGGAACAACACCCACCATCATCCAGAAAATTTTGTAAGGAAATTTGCTGGTATTTCCCCCCCTTTTTTACCCTATATATATATATATATATATATATGTTTGTTGCATTTTGCAGAATGAAACGAATATATGTCAATATATGTTTGTTGCATTAGACAGAATGAAACGAATTTTCTATTACCATAGTGGGTTTGCCTTAATTTTGCTTTTCATGGCTTCTGTAATTTGGTGGGTCTCTGTTATATTTTAAGATTTCAGCTCTTGCTTAATTCCATGTAATAAAACAATCTGAATTTGGCATTTCATTTGTTTTGATAGGTAAATTTCTTATTCTTTTGATTGTGATTTGGTTACTGTTGATCTCTGCAGAAACATTTGGTTGACCTCTTTCCCTTTTGGGAAAATCCAACTACTTGATTTTGTTTATTTGGATAAAGAAATTCAAAGAAAATGGTATTTGAATCAATCTCTTTCCTTACCTTTCCCTTCTCTGCTAGGTTATGTATGTACTTTGTAATAATTTTAATTATGATATTCTTGGTTCATATTCACTTAGAAATAGTTGCTAAATGGCAGGTTTATCACTCTAGTTTTGTTGATGAGGAAGGAATTACTAAAGCTTGCGGATGTCCTTTACTTCCTTTGAAAAGTCATATAAAGGGTCCTGCTCCTGTTTCAGATCAAGGTTGGGTTTATGTTTTATAATCTCTATTGGGTAGTGTTGTCGATTTTATGTCGTTTTCTTATTCATTGAGTTGATAATTCAAGATGGTTGTTTGCAGATAAAACTGATATTGTTGATGAAGCAATCACATTCTTTCGTGCCAATGTGTTCTTTAGGAACTTTGATATTAAGAGCCCTGCAGATAAGCTCCTAATATATTTGACTTTCTACATAAATGTGGCTCTGAAGAAACTTGAGGGCTGTAGAACCTTGGCTGAAGGGACCAAGGCAATCATTAACTTGGGCTTGGAAAAGGTTCCTGTACCTGGAGAATCTGGTTTTCCTTTTCCAGGGCTGTTTGCGCTTCCACAGTCTCAAAAGGAAGCAGGTAAATCTCCTTACTATCATCTTTTTCATTTGGTATAAGTAAAATGTGACAGATTTTTGAGCTGCTGGGTATTTTTGAAACATTTTCCAATTATCTGTACTTCTCTGTACTTGATCTTTTGTTATCTTTGCCTTTACTTATCAAACAACAATAACTAGAATTGTTTTTGCTTAAACGATTGAGAATTATGAAATTCACAGTTAAAAGTTTTGATTAACATTTGTGATCATTGAATTCATGCTTATCTTAACTTGAGGGGATCAAGTTGTTTAAAGAGCTTCCTTGTCAATGATAGCGTCAAAGTGTTTAAAAAGCCTCAGTTTTGGTGAACATAAAAATGTAATTCATTTTGTTTTAAAATACTGCTTTGATCAATATGCAACAAGTGTTGTAGGAAGTTTGTAATGCTTTGAATATTTCTTAAAACTTTTTCATATCTGTATGCTATATGAAAGCTGTTGATCTTTTGTGATGTTATTCACAGCTTTGGGTGCTGAAGTTCTGATAATTTGCTAGGACTATATAATTTGTTGATTTCTTAAATGCAGAACTGCTCAGGAATTATCTGAAGCAAATAAGAGAAGAAACAAGTGGGAGACTGTTGAGTGTCGCCTATAGGCCCAATGGAACTCCAAATAAATGGTGGTTGGCTTTTGCAAAAAGGAAATTCATGAACATCATTGTTCCATGAAAAAAAAAAAAACGTTGTATATCCTATCAAAAGTAACATGGAAAAGCATGCTGACTTTTGATATTATAAGATGATATGTTTTGAATGTCTGTAACATAATTAAGTTTTACATTTCTTCAGATTCTTTTGATGGAAATTAGTATTTTCATTGACTTGATTGCTTCATGAAACAAGGGAGCAGAATAAGGGTCAATTTGGCTTCATACTCTGCTTCGTGGTATTAAAATTGGTTATGCGTTTAAATCCGAGTTGTCTGCTTATACATGGTCGTTGGATTCATTCAAGTTCTCTCTCTGGCATATAAAGACACGTTCATTGGCATCAGATCATCTTGAGCCATTGTCATTTGCATAACCACACATGTATTTCCTCCTTTGAAGCATCGAACTTCATGAAAGCCTAGGACTCCAAGGTGTCTCTATGTTGTTTAAGCAATGAATTCTTTGGTTCTAGCTTTTGCCATGCATTAACTTCATTTCTTTTCTGTTTTTATATTTTTTCCAATTTGATGCATCCGAAGCTTCATTCACATTAAATATTGGCTGCCTTTCATTCATTGCTAGTCGTAGGTCACAATTAACATTGCTACCCTTGAAAGTCAATTATTAGCAGTTTCTGTCAAAAACATGTCCTGTCTGTTCATGGAGACAAAAGAGGAGTTTAACAACATACTTGTAGAGGTACATCCTGGGACAAGCAGAAATGTAGAATCAATGCAATCCACCAAATTTGCCAAAAGAAGTTAAATCCTAAACATTAAAACATGTCGGTTTCCTAGAAAAAGAATGTAACAGGTTTTCTTTACCATCTGCTCAGAGTGAAATGTCTGTACAAGGTGGTTGGGTTTGATTTGATGACACGACCGTTCCAGCAAAACTAGCCTAGCTACAGCACAACCAAAGTAATGAGCTGGTCTGGTTGGTTGGTTGGCTGGCTACCTTTTTCAGACACATCACTAGTTTCCCCCAATAAAAAGGACTACAAAAGGGGCAAGAGCCATCCTGGCCTGCCTGGTGAAATCATTGGAGCCATGTGATTTGCAGATGGTTGGCAGGATTAATTATAAGTTTAAGAACTACAATTTAGCAACTAATTTTTGCAGCAATGATTGATGGTCCATTCTTCTTATCAGCCACCAAATTTCACCGAGATTAACACGATGAAGGGAATTTTTTTTTTTTCCAAAACAAGATTTTAAAAAAAGGTGATACGAAGAATGTTACATCATTGCCCAGGTGAAAGGCTAGAAGCCGTGCCCATGCCATTGCCAGTCCAGTATACTTGAAGTTGAAGCTGAAAGCGTCGGCCCCCACGGAACACGTCCATAAATCACTGGATAAAAGGACGAAGGATCAACTTCTTTTCTTGTTTACTTTATGATTTTTCTAACTTTGGGCCTATTGCCAGTTGGCAAAGAGACATTTACCAAACATTCACAGCCTTTTTAGATGCTAAACACATTGGACATTTCCCATTACCCATTAAAGATCTCAACGATCCAATTTCCACCAAAATCAAGAGTGGTGGGCCAGCCAAGTAACCGATCTTCCACACATTAACATCCCAATCTAACGGTTTAGAAAACGACACATTTCATCTATCAAAACCCACTCTTTTCTTTCTTTGCCTTAAGACAGAAGAAAAGAGAAACCCAAGGTCGAATATTTCAGAAACTGCTCTTTGCTTCTTTCTTCATTTCAGAAGCTAATATTCAGGAAAAAACACCCAAAGTTGAATATTTCTTTGATTTTTATTTTTGGATAAAAACATTAAAAATAGAAAAAAAATTGTATAATCTAAATTTTTTAAGGAATTTTTTTTCTTGAAATAAAATATATAGAAAAACCCAAGCATGGACAAGATCTAAATCCCCAGCAACACTCTCATCAGTGAAAAACATAAATAAAGACAGGTGATTCTCGTACTCATCAGCCTCCATGCTCCTTCACTCTCATTCAATCAAGCTCAGCCCGTGGATCATCCCCTTCCCTGATCCATGCCATGACCCTTACGTCCTTCATATCTAGGGTTTCTATTTCCAACACGATCTTCATTGCCCGCCACCAGCATGTCTTCCGAGATCAACGGCCAGGTTTCGCCTCAGCCGTGTCCCCATCTCCTCGACTTCCGCTCCCGCAATGGCTTCAAGCCGTTTCGCGCCTTCCAGGACTTAATCCGCGTCAAGCGGCCCGGCGGTCTCCCCGCCATTCGGAGGGAAATCTCCGAGGTACCCCGATGCTGCACGTGCGAGGAATCATCCCGTTCGAGGCTCTACGCGTGCGTCGCCTGCGCCGCCGTGTTCTGCTACGCCCCTCCGCTTCATTCGCACGCATCGGCTCACGCGCTATCCAATCCCGGCCACGAGATCGCCATCGACGTCGACCGCGCTGAGCTATTTTGCTGCACTTGCCGTGACCAGGTCTACGATCGCGACTTCGACGCCGCCGTCGTCTTCGCCCAAACTGTCACCATCACCGCAACCACCTCCACGTCCGGATGCACCGTAATGCAATGTAACATTGCCGGATTTCAACCGGAAAATCTCCGAAAGCGCCGTCGAGTTGACAACCGCCCGTGTTCCCCAGATTCAAGGGAACACGTCATAATCGGAAACCATTTGTTTTCTCTCCATGACGCGACCAATGCCTCATTGATTTCGTCAACAGAAATACCTTGGGGATTACGCGGATTGAATAATTTGGGGAATACTTGCTTTATGAATTCAGTTTTACAAGCATTGCTCCATACGCCGCCGTTGCGAAGCTATTTCTTAAGAGATCGGCATCATAGATATTATTGTCAGCAAAAAAACGGTGCTATTAATGGTACTAAAAGTTCAAGACTATGTTTGGCATGTGACATGGAGGCGATGTTTTCGGCTGTCTTTTCTGGGGATCGGACTCCTTATAGTCCAGCCAAGTTCTTATACAGGTTAGTTTTCGGTCAAAATATGAAATTTTTTATTGTGAGTGGATATGAAGAGTAAGAAAAATTTTTTTTGGGCTTTTGTTCTTTACCATATTGATATTGTCTAAGTTGTTAGTATTTAATTTGTGGGTTTTTGCAGTTGGTGGCAACATTCGGCAAATTTGGCTAGTTATGAGCAGCAGGATGCGCATGAATTTTTCATTTCCATGCTTGATGGAATTCATGAAAAGGTGGCGAAGGAAAAAAGGAAGTCCCAGAGTCCAGGTGACTAGCTTTCTTACTGTGCGAGGTTGTTGTAGCGACTTTGAGTTACATTTCTGGCATGTGGTTGCCTTCCTGCCCGAAAATGCATTAGTGATTTGAATGCTTATAATGGGAGTTTCCATAGGTGGGGTTTTTTATTTATAAGGTAATCCGTAGATTGAAGAATCTTCTAAATTAAAGGAATCTGGTTCTGGGGCCACTTCTTCTGAAAGTCATCATGACATGTTAGTATTGGCTACATTTGTTCTGTTATTGGTAATTTATGTGTTAGTTGGATGTTTGTCAATTTCTTCAAAGGGTGTTTGTTCTGGAAGGATATTGTATCTTTTGCATTGGTCAAATAATATGAATGTTTTGAAGTGTAGTACATCAAATAATGAATATTGTGTTATTCAAAGTGTATTTGTCTTAATCCTGTCTTTGATCATGTAGTAGTAATGTATTCCTGCTGACATGTGCTACGATCCATGTTGTCTGTAATTCCTAATGGGTTTGGTAAAAATTTGGTGAGTTGTTGATTTCAGGTTGACATTCTGGAAAGAATAGTTTGTTTGCATTAGTCAGCTTGGGGCATTGTGCATCAAAGAGATCAATTAGGATTGATAAGTTTGGTTAGGAATCTTCATTAAGTCTGTGCATAGGATGGGCTTGTCTGCTGCTGTAGGGCTTTAGTGGCCAAATTTTATAGTTACTGAGATGCAGATTGAATCCAGATAAGAAGCAGTATGTTCAACCAAGTAGAATAAATCACTACTGGAAGGAGTGAGTTGAAATGCAGAAATCATGTAGTGCAAAACTTGCTGCTATATTAATGCAGCCTTTACCGAAATAAGATACTCTTAACGAGCTTCTATTGTCAGTCTGTCCCTCGGTTTACTGTTTTTAGTATTTATATGTTTAGTTGACATCATCAAAGTTTTGCTAAAGATTAAGAAATAACTCCAATATTTAACTGCAGGACTTGAGTTTAGGTCTCTTCTTTCTTTCCCTAGGAGTTGACAAGTGCTCCCAGATTTAGGACTGCAGGCTTGATGATGTCAACTGCTTTACTCCAGTAAGTCAACCCTCCTTAGCCTACTTGGTTTTATCATAGGAATTTCTCACCTTACTTAATTCTCTTGTTACTTCCCCTTTACCATGTATGGGATCCTATTGTCTTGACAGTTGATCCTTGTCTAGAAAAAGGATAGAGTTGCTTTAGTTTTACAACCTGCATCGGACCATTTTTTGTCTTTTTGGTCATCTTTTTTCTGCATAAACTTTCTTCAAATGCATTGGCTGGGTGAAGAAATTCGGAGTCTTTTGAACTTGAAAGTTATTTGCAAGGTTGCCTTAACTTAAACCATCTTTTCTCTACCTCTTACATGTTCTCCTTTTCTTTCTTGCTATTTTCTGGTAGTGTTGGAAAAGACTAAAATTTAGATTATTCCTTGAGATATATTATATATGGAACTTGTTGTTTTCATGTTTGTTGAAAGGTGGTCTTCTGCCTGGAAACTTAAGTTAAATATTGGAAACCGAAGTAAGAAACACTAACCATAAGTAGTCATTGAGCTTTAGTTGGGCTTAATGATTTTGCATTGAAACTTTTTATATCACCCTCTTTTTCTGGTCAAGGTGAATGCAGAACTAGCATTCTCTGTGCTGGTTCTGGTAAACTAAGGCTGAAAGGGGGTTTTGATTTTGCTATCTCTTAACTGTAGTTGAAAGTTAACATCTGAGATTGTAGTTGCTTTTTATTCAAAGTTAGCCTTGTCCAACATTTGTAGAAGCATATTACTCTTTTTTTTTTTTCACATTCTCACTAGGATCTAATCAGCTGGAGTTATTAAAATTTGAATGTATCTTCGCATATAGCTGTTTATCTGAAAAGTGTTTGAATGAAGAGCTCGTGTTTGATGCTTGTGATGCCATTTTTCATAAATGAAGGAGAATTTTGGGTGATAACCTATCTCTTATATTGGATATTTTTATAACCCCATTCCTTGATGGTGCAGGCAGTGGAGATTGTTGCAGTGCTCACAGAGTATTTTCTGGTATTCTGCGATCTGATGTCATGTGTATTGTTTGTGGTTTCACATCCACAACATATGACCCATGTGTAGACATTTCCCTGGACTTGGAACCAAACCAAGGGGTTTCTGGGAAGTCTTCATCTGCAAAATCCCATAATTCTTGCAATGTTGAGGCAGATTGCATGGGTTCAAACCAAAACTCTGGGATATCTACTTTAAAGGGTTGCTTAGAGCGATTTACAAGAGCTGAGAAGTTGGGCTCTGATCAGAAATTTTTCTGCCAAAAGTGTGAGGTGAGACAAGAGTCTCTTAAGCAGATGTCCATAAGAAAGCTTCCATTAGTTTCGTGCTTTCATATTAAAAGATTTGAACATTCTTCAATACAAAAGATGTCAAGGAAGGTTGACCGGTATCTGCAGTTTCCTTTTTCATTGGACATGGCTCCATATCTCTCTTCTTCCATTTTGAGGAGCCGATTTGGAAACAGGATCCTCCCTTTTGATGGAGATGAACAAGATGCATCCAATGAGTTATCATCCGAATTTGAGTTGTTTGCTATTGTCACACACACAGGTAGATTAGATGCTGGCCATTATGTGACTTATTTGCGATTAAGTAATCAATGGTACAAGTGTGATGATGCTTGGATTACTAGAGTTAATGAGAGCATCGTGCTTGCTGCACAAGGATACATGATGTTTTATGTACAGAAGGTGTTGTCTTATAAAGCAAGTGAAAAGCAAGCTGCCTCATGATATAATGTTCAGAGATAAGAATTTGGTTTTCAATTCAAATTATATAAGGCATCATTCGGAGTTGTGTGTCTAATATGGAATTACACATTTGATGTCATGGCTAGTTTTGTATACCATGAAAACAAGCTTTATCAAGCTGCTCTGATCATTGATAAAAGACTGGGCTGCTTGTTCGTTCCAAGCACTTCAAAGGGTAATTTAAAATACTCGATTGGGGTGTTAAGTGAGCCTAAATTTTTTAGGCTCTCCAATATTCAAGAAAATCAATTTTATAAGGTATGCATTCCTTAAAATGATTTCTGAATTTCTTCTTCCTATTCATTCAAGTGTTGGCCTATTAATTTTTTTCCCTTTTTCATTCTAATCCTCTCTCAAAGGATCCGCAGAGAGTTGTAGTTTACTCACTTGGCATATTGATACCAACAGACCGATTTACAATTATCCTTTTCATAGGGCTGACGATCATTTTCTTGCTTGGAAAGCACTCAATACTCATCCATCCCTAATACTGAGTCTGGCTGTTGACTTAATACTTGTCTCTGTCATGAAGAGTGCAAGATCGAAGCACGAAAGAAAATAGTAAAGTTAATCCTAAAACCATTTTCGTTGCAGGATCATCTATGGCATATGGAGAGTTGATAAACGATAAGCCAGGCACTTCAAGCATAAAGACAGTTTAAATATCAAAATGTACATGGGTTTTACATGAGCAGTAAGCTTGAACTGGCTATGCCTTGTTTCATTTTTCTGGCTCAGGGTCCATTATGTTTGAGGGATTTTTTTTCATTGATCAATGAAGCTAAAGCCCTAAGCTTGTGATTAACCTGTTATTCTGTAGTTTATGAAGTGCATGGATGATAGTTTTTCTTCATTTAAGTCATAATTACTAATTGTATTTGTAACTATCAACCAGGTTAAACGTTTTTCATATGTTTGGCTTTGGCAAATAGAGAACTAGCATATTGAGTATATTTGTATGTCTAAAAGCCATCCTTTTTCTCTCACCAGGGGGGAAACAAAAGAAAAAAAATCACTGACATTTTACATCTATGGCCATGAGGAATATCTCATGCCATAGTAACATTTTTGTATAACCATTGACAACAAATGGTTTGTTTATAATTCCCTGAAATCCTTGGTAAAATCCCATATAAGAAAATAATGAAATTTCTATTCTTTCTAATTGCAGTATCATAAATTCTTATTTCAAAATTTTATTTTGCAAAAAGTATAAATCATTTTTTTTTTTTAATTGTGAAAGGAAAAGTGAAAAAAAAAAAAGGAAGCAACTTGTGAATGTGAAAATAGGCAAATGTTCAGTAGGCTTGCCTCACCTTTAACCATTCCATCCAGTAAAACATACATGTTTTTGTCAACAGGGTTAAAGCCGAAAGGTCAACAAGTTGGGAAAATTCATCAGTCATATAAATTATATAATACCCTTTCAGCAGGCCCAGCATAACAATATGATAACTATGCATAGATTGTCTATATGTGGCCATGCATCATTAAGGCTAGGCGAAATAGATAAGTGTTGGTGGAAAATGACAGCTTTGCTGCATGTTGAAGCACTACCATCTCAACTTCTCTAAAATCCAATCTGAAATATTAGCTATTACAAATCCCAGGAATACCTGAAATACATCACAATTTGACCCTTGATGAGCAAGTGACTTCTTTGCAATAATGCCGCTCAGATGCATGTGTATCAAAGAAACTAAAGGATGATGTGCTGACAAGTTACCTGAGCTGACCCAATGATATAGATTACAGAATACTGTTGGCCATGAATTAGTATGTCTTCCAACATTGCAATAGGTATTGTAAGTGAAACACCTAGTGCAGCTACCAGCGGGGAGGTCCAGACAACACCTAATGCCCTGTAAGTATGATAGATGTCGACTTAAAGGAATGAAGAACATGTAGATTCAGAAGTCAAGAAAATTCAGTAAGACTGTTTTATTGGCTTACCAGAAGTAGTCAGACAGAAAACTTCCAACAAAACTGTTTATAAGGATTATCTCTTGCACTTTTGCTGATTGAGGAAATGTGAACTTTGGTTCTATACCAATGGCTGTCAGAGGCCATGCTGGAAAGAAATCAGAAACATTAAGTTATAATAATGCAGCTAAGATACTAAGGAAGCATTTACCGAAGCTGTTAGAGGCGTGTTGGCTACTTCCAATATAAAGCATTTCATTGAACTAGTAGCTACAAAATGCTAAAGAAGTTATAAAAACAGCAGCAGATCCTGAAGCAGTCGGATCCATCATTTTGCTTTGTATTGTCTAAACTAGTTCCTATAATGTCTTGCTGACTGTATCCAGTTTCAAGCTATCAAGAACAAAATAAAACTGTAATGCCTATTTTTCTTTTATTTGACAAGCTTATCAGAACATTGAAGAAGAAAACTAGGAGTCAAGGATAAATGTATTCCACCTACAGTACCAAACTGGAAAAAAAGAATATGATAACCATGTCAAAATTTTCATCTTGTTTGGGTTTTGGTGGTAGTGCTGGTTTGTTCAAGCCAAAAGGCATATGCTCCATTTCCAACATCGACAAGTATGACATAAAGCAGAAATGATATGGAAAACTAACTAGCAATATGCTCTTACCAAGCCACCAAAGGGCAACAAGTGCAAACAATCCAATATAGCCAAACAACTTCTTCATGTCTACCCTTTCTCCTTGTTCTCCAGAAAACATTTTAAGCAAAACTGCTACATATGATTTTAATTATAGTCCTGTGGTAATTGATCAGCAAAAATCTAATACGGTTCAAATAAAAGAGACGGAATAAAACCTGTAAACAATCCATAACACATAGCTGAGAGGGTAGCAAAAAGATCTCCTACAAGAGCATGATTCCAACTTCTGAAAGCAGGAAAAAAAAAAACTGTCAGTAGCTCCTCAGAATACATGCTACGCTGGTTTTGTATTCCAATAATTAACAAGAAGAATAACTAAGAATGCAGACTTGCAACTGAATACCAAGCATAAAATTAGAAAATATATTTTCGAAGAACTTTCTCTTCTGTAAGTCATATATCTTGAACCCTGGCCTATTTATAACATAACACGACCGATGTGTCCAAGCCAAATTATGGTAGCATGTAACAGTTCAATGAGGTGGAGGAAAACCATACTTGTTAGCGACTGATTTTGATTCATCTGCAGCCCATGTCTTTCCAAGTGTAGTCATAGCAACACCGGCAATGCTAATGACGACTGAAACTACTTTCATTGCATTTATAGAGTCTTGACCCAGAAGAGCCCCAATTATTAAAGTGAAAAGTCCTGAAGTTGAGGACAACAATGTTGTACTAGCAACACTTGTTCTTGCGAGAGCGGCGTTCGTTAGATACTGTAGACATAGAACAATAATAGAAAGAACTTCAGTGATGTCTTTCTGTGAAACATGTAAATCCCAGCTTTTCCTATAGCAGATCGGCTATGTTCATTGGGATTATGTTTCTTATACATAAAAGGCTTGTGGATTTACATGAAATGAGCAAATCTACGCAAATGAAAGTTTAAAAGAAGATTGGGGTCATAATCAGGCAAAGGCAGCAAGCACAGGGGCAGATACAACTTTATCATTCACACCTCTGTTGCAAACCAGATAGGAGCCAATGAAAAGCCAAATGCAGCAATTTCCTTTGCACTAAGCATTCTGTCTCCCTTTGGTGCTTCCGTAATATCTTCATGTCCAGAAACCAGCGGATTTCCCTCATCTTTAGTACAAAAGTCGATGACACACTCCTTAGGCAATGGTGCTTGATGTTCAATTTGAAAATTTGCAGGCTTGTCATCATGTTTTGCAGGAGAATTTAGTTCCACAGAGGTTTCAACCCCTTTTGGGCCTTCGGTACTATTACTATTACAAGAGCGACCTCTGAGATGCTTTACTAACCAGTCCTTAAAGAATGCTAATGGCAGATAAAGTGACAAAAGAGAGGTTCCAAGATATGTCACAGCAAACGGGTGCCTATAGTCTTCAAATACACCCTGTCGAAGCATACAGGTAATGTCAAACCTCCAAAGCAAAAACGAGGGTGTAATGGCATTAGGACTGAATCTTATATTAAAAGACAAAAGCTGAGCATAGTAAAATATAGCTAATGAGCCTGAATGAGAAGACCAAACCATTCAGGAAAAAAAAAAACGAAAACAGATTCGAAGGTAGAAAAGGCAAGTGGGTGAAACCTGATGCCCAGAACGAAGATCCCAGGAGCAACCAGGAGACCTCCCAATTCCATTAGCAAACAAAGCAGATAAAATGAATCATTAGTTTCAACAATTGAGAAGTTAAAAATAACTCAGTCCAACAAAAAATAGGAAGAAATCCATACTTAGTGATAAACTGACAAACCAAGAACAAAATAAGAGTATGGAATCAATAAAATTATTGGTTTTCATCAAATTAAGCATTGAACACATATTTCTATGGGTAAACTTCTTTAATGTTCACATTTCAATGATGGCTGGTTGCCCGCCAATGACAAGTACAGCTACAGTAAATATCATGACGATGATCCATATAGATTCTACAGAATAATCATTTAAACTGCAAACTTTCCTTTCCTTTCCTAGCAGGTAAGCAACAGAAGATAGAGACAAGATAAGATTAATTTTGAAACTGATCTTGAGTCAAAAACGAAAACCATTGTTCTTAATTTCAGCCTGGTGAATGGCTAAGAAATTGACTTATATGGGTGGAGAATGGAGATTACACCCATCCCACAAAATTTTCCGTTATGATAAATTGTCAATGATCATCTCTCAGATCTTTTCAGCAAGAAGGATAAACCAAGAAACATAAAGTGAACAGAGTGTCAAAAACTAAGTTGTCCCCTGAATGATATGGAAGATTCATCAACCACTTGAAATCAAAACTCAAAAAACTAAGCTACCATTTATAAGAACATGAAAAATCCAAGAAAAAATGTCGACATAAAAGCAATTGCAAAGTAAAAGAATTCAGAAAATAAAAGAACCATTTGATAATGAAGAGAAAAAGAACCAGTGAACTAACCTGAGTGACCTCTGCAGAGGTAACCCACATGATCACAACACCAATAATCAGAAGCAAACCTCCCTTGTATTTCAAACCCATATTTTCTTTTCTTCTTCCTTCACTCTTTTGTCTATTAAAAAAAAAAAAAAAACAACTCTCTTCAAATCAATCTCCGGATTTTTAATAGTCACCTACATTAACGTCCAAGCACAGGCACATACAGCTGAGGGAACGTTATAAATAGGAAAAACCAATGGGAAGTAATGAGTTTTAGTTCATTGTCACTGTCTCACTATCAGCATGGCTGTGCGCCGATTCTGTCTCCAATTGGTCGGTTCAGTTGCACCAACAACAAAGATCGTCGTATTTATTTATATACATACATACATATATATATATGTATATATAATATAAATAGCATTTGAGGAATATATTCCAAGTTTGAATTGACCGCACTTGGGATTAATTTATAATTATAACAAAAAAAAGTTTTCATTTTTTTGATGTATTGAGTTGGTTCTTAGAGAAAAATTGGTAATTCATTTTTACTTGGAATCGACTTAAGCTAATCAGGAAATGGTTTAAATAGATATTTAAGATTTAAGCTGTAATTTTCTTTAAATTTGTCCAATATTGAAAGAGTACAAGTGGCTAGCTCTATGTTCTTGGTGGAGTATTTGGTTTTGATTGGAATTCTAATTCAGTAAAAGAGGAAGCCATTTTGGCCTTTTCATCCTAAACCACACACAGAAAATAATAAAAACATGTAAAGAATGAAAATATAATCAGAAAGCCCATAATAATATTATCAATCGATAAAGTACCGAATTTTTTAATTTTTATGATCAAAATTTAAATACAGATAATATCAAATAAAAAATAGGCAATTATATTATGTTAAAGAAAACTTTACACTATTACGAGCTTATTTAAACTTATAATCATGGGAGCTAGCTAAAAATCGAATAAAAACCTTCCATGTTGTCCATCAACTTTTGTCAAGTTGGGTTCAGGACAAAAATAAACTACAAATTTATGGGGGTTGGGGGAACAGAAAAGACAAGCAATGGTTTAATCAGCATACCAATTATGTAGTAAGACGTCAACATCGATCTTTTGCGTATTAAAATTCGATTATGCTTCTTGCTTTCATATTTCTGCACTCTTATCTTACTGTTAATGGCGAATGTTGGAACCAAACGGAAAGATTCCAAATGCCCCTATGTTTATTTCATCCATATATATATATATATATATTGTTAGAAAAAAATAAATAAGAAAAAAAATAATAAAAAAAATTAATTTTAAAGCATGAAAATACTTTTATAAAAATAATTATGTCTTTAAGATACAATAAAACATCAAACTCTTCAATTATAAACAGTGAAAATGATTATATTAAAAGATTTATTTGTAATGAATGAATAAACATAAACTTTTATTCAGATAATTATGATTTTTTGTATAATCATGATATTTATGAATAATAATTTATTTATATTCAAATAGTTATGACTATTTGTCATATGATAATTGTTTCTATTCAAATATAATTATTTAAAATATGAATAAAATTAATGCAAAAATTTATTTTATTCATCAATAATTAAATCTTTTTGTCTAATGTGAGGTGCACCAGATTCTAAACTATCAACAATCCCCCACTAGTTGAAATGTCGATGCTTAATTTTTACTTTTTACATAAATAAATATTATGAATACCAAAAAGATATCTCTTGATTTAAACCTTCAATTAGCATATATATCTTAGAATTATAATGAAATTGATGGTATATGCAAATCAAACATCAACTCCTAGTGTTAGAATTGAAGATATAACACACATAATACTTATTTATTTTTTTGTTAAAGGTTTATAATTGCTTTTAGTATTATTATGATTATCCTATTCATAAATATTTACAAAAGAAACTTTAATTTTTCTTGCTAAAGCAGCATCACTTTTATATTTATATAAGTAGAGTTTTCATTATGTCTCTATTGCTTTAGATATTTAAAATTTTATTAAGAGTATATAAACTCATCTTTTTTACGCAATGAATCACATTAGTTTCTAAAATTTGAATATATTTTATTAGTATTTAACGGACACATAACAATAACTTATTTTTACTTATTAAACTTTATAATTAGAGGTTACTAATTCAAAGTTAGGTTTCCATTATTGGTGTCTAATAGTAAGTGTTTAAATCTCTTCTACTTGTAGTATTATTGATAAAATATCTTGAAATTCAATTTTTTTTTATGGTAATTACTCATACTTGAAATTGAATCTCTAATATAATCATTTCAGACTAATATGTTCAAACTTTTCATTTTATATATCAATTACATGCTCTAGACATTATTGCTTCATTATTATTATTTTAAGAAATAGTTGGTTTTAGTTACGGCCACAACTTTATACTTATAACTTTTATTTATTATATTTTCATACTTTTATGTATCTTTAATACAATTATACTTTTAGTATAATTAGAAAAACTCAATGAATAAACCAAACCATTTTAATCCTTAATATTTTTTAAAGACCTTTATATAATTTTACTTTAATAAATGTCTAAATTTATTAGCTTGTATAATTTACTCATAAAATTATACTAAAATCTTACAACACTACGGTGGTTTTTTATTTTTATTATTCTCATCACCCCTACCATTTGTAAGTATGCATTCTTTTATTAAAGAATGTCTTATTCAATTATCAAGATATCATATATACTTAATCAAGTTACCAATTTATTTATCTTTTCACTATTTAGTGATTTTTTTAAGTAAGAGGTCTCCAAATCCACCATTAGTGAAAGATAACTAGCAAATATTTTAATATTTTTATAAAAGTTTCAAAACTTTTATTTTAACTTAATATAAAAGTTTATATCAATAAGCAGATTTCAAATATAATTATGCTTCTATAGTTTTCTTTTAAGATTTTTTAAGTCAATTCATAAATATTTATATGAATCTATTTTATCATGGACACTATTAATAATTTTTATTACCATGAATAAAATCATTTTCATTACCCAAATGGATCAAATAACATTCTTTTTGCTATTATAAAAGTTTTTATATTCACAAGATCTTTGAATTATTCCTAGCTTTCAAAGTAAATATACTTTGAAATTTTTACTATATAAAATCATAGATGATAAATTATTTGTACAATTCATGAATTAGATTATATACATAACAAAAAATTACCATAACGTGATCAATATTGTGGCATTAATTTTAGCTTATGGCTATTCTAAGTCAACCATAATAATCCACATTATGCTTACAAATCATGTAGATTTGCTATTTAAGTTATCTCATTTCTAGTGATAGCTTTTAGTGAAAATAAAATATCTCAAATGTTATCATGAGTTTTCAATGCATATATGAATTGCCTAATAGCCAATTTGAAATTCATGACTATTGAAATCTCTAAACTTGATTTCAAAATTTTATGAGAACTTTATTTCTCCATTATTGTGCAACCTATATATCTCTATTATTTATCACTTTTAATTGATCATAACATTTTTGGATATATAGTAAATTCAAACTTTACTAATATAACTAATATGCTTATGTATAATAAGAGTTCATAGTATATTTAATCCAATTTTAAATACTTTCAAAATCATTTTGTGATTAATATGTTCATATCTAGATCAACATATCAACGCAAGTCATGAAACATAAATCCAAAGAATCATTTTCATAAATTAGTATAAACAATAATTACAATATGAGTTATATTAATATTTCATGCAAAAACTTGTGATGATTTGCATTGGTTAACTCGTTAATTGGCTAACTCTAAAGCTTACGGCTTTCACAAATCAATATTATTATCTAAGCTCATATGTTAATATGTTATATAACCAGCCGCATCATTGCCATTGTCATGAAACTATCAAAAACCTCAAAAACTAATTCACATTTCATTTTAATAGCCTACAAAATGCCATTTTTTCAAGTACAAAAAGCAAAAATACCTTCATTATTTTTAACCAATAATGTATTAATTGGATGATGGCATTCAATCTCCATAGTTCATATCTTTCTTATATGTATAAGAAAAAAATTGCATTCAATTCAGTTTATTTTCATAATATATGACAAACTGTATCAATGTTTTTCGTGCCATCACAAAATGAAATTAAACACATGCATGTATTGGTGCCTTTGGAACATTGAATTTACATGTTCTTTTCTAATTTATAAACATGTCTAATTGGACATTGATGAGCATCTTTCAAAATGCTAATAACCAATAAATGCTTCAATATATAATTTTTTTAATAACATGCCTTTTTGTTTTTTTTTAATCAATCATCTAATTAACCCAAATTGTTTGCCAAATTTTAGTTAATGATACTAACATAAAATTTACAAAATATAACGGTGTCATAGATATACATACTTAATGTATTTTACATTACCACCAGCCACAATTCGCCTTGAAATTATAAATTCATTGCATATAATAAACTTATATTAACTTATTATATTATAAATTCAAACAATTTATAAATGCTATTATTAACGAGAATAATATTTCAAAACCCAAACTTTTATAAACCTCATAGTTATAATGGTTTGATATTTTCTTTTTAAAAAATTATTTCTATAATCTCCTATCTTTTGTAAGCCAGTTTCATCAATCATAGTTATACAATAGAAACATTTATATTCCAAATTCTTGAGTTTATTTATCTTACTTGTTTTAACTATCACACCTACTATAGCCATTAATCTCCATTGTTTTACATATTCTTTTAGTTTCCTAGTAATGCAGAAATCAGAATGCTATGTCATTTATATGCGAGACCTGTTATCATTGAGGTCTACCTCCTTGTCTTCAAGCAAAGTCCCCGAACAGGCCAAACCTGCATTATCTTTTAATGGAGTTTTGCTTAGAATAGACCTTTTTTTTGTCATATCCTTTATTCAGATTCACCAAAAAATGGAATGGAAACCCAAGAGTACCGATGGAGACAGGAATTGCAAACCAAGAGACTTGAAAATCTCCCTTTAGTGAACATGTTACATGTGAAATTGATGATGGTTGGGATGCTATCATCATACCATAAAATCAGACGTAATGGGTTGGCAAGCCACATGACACTTCCCATTTTTTTTACCCTTCCCTTTAATAAGTCCAACCACAGTGCTCATCTTTTAAGTGAGGGTTTGACGTGAGCCAACTTGCTTGACATTCTAGGGGTGATTATAGGACCCACTGCCGCATACATGTAGGCAAAGGCTTTAATCATGTCGGGTTATTAGCAAAGGATTCATGCTCTTAATACGAAAGGTTTGGGTCAAATATTTGTCCACCTGAAAATAAGAAAGCTACGCTAGGGTTTTTTTTTTTTTTTTTTTGTCCCAAGATTATGAACCTTCAATTTTGTCCATAAATTCTTTTTTTTTTTTATTTCAATCTTTATAAGCATCGATTTTTCAAATAGATATAATACAATTTATTAAACGTAATTGTGAAGTCAATTTCAATATATACATAAACTTATACAATGCAATCAATATTTTGCATATTATATTTTGACTTTACTCACTAATAAAATTAATTATTAATGTGTTTATCCCATTCAATCAATATTCTTACTAGCAATTATGCAAAAAATAAAATGCATAACTCTAATAAAAATTTTTATGAAAATTAATATTTTGGTCCACGAAAATATTAATCATTCGACACCTTGAGTATCCTCTAATATTGATATCCAAATCATACTAATTTCTTTTTCTTGTATCTTCATTGTGCGAAATATAAATTTCTCATAGTTGCCCTTAAAATGTTAGAAAAATAAATAAAGGAAAAAATAATAAAAAAAATTTTAGCTTTGAGGTGTAAAGAACATTTTCTTAAAGGTAATTGTACCTTTAAGATATAATAATACCTCAAACTCTTCAATCAAAAGTAGTGAAAATGATTATACTAAAAGATTTATTTATAATGAATGAACAGACATAAACTTCTATTCATATAGTTATGATATTCTGTATAATCATAACTTTTATGAATAATAATCTATTTATATTCAAATGGTTATGACCATTTATCATATGATAATTATTTTTGTTTAAACATAATTATTTAAAATATGAATAAAATTAATACAAAAATTATTTTATTCATTAATAATTAAATTTTTTTATCTAATGTGAGATACACCAAATTTTAAACTACCAACATATATAGCATATAGTGAATTTATATAATAATAATAGTAATTGATAAAGGCATGAGCTAGCCTAGGAAGACATGGATTTCGTGTTCAATGGTTCTTGTTTTTTTTTTTTTTTTTTTTTATGTTTTTCTATTTAGGACAGATTTTGGAGAGATAAATAGATAAGATTAAATTAATAGTATCAATAATTGAAGTTGATTTGCTTAATTTAATCTTACATAGCAATATATAGCAGTCAACATGAATAAGAAACTTGGTGATAGAGTCAGAGGGATGTAGACTCATAGATGTTGGTGTGCCATGTAATTTCATTAAAAGTTTGACTTATTTAATTCTATTAACTTATATAATCAATTATATATTATGATATTCAATAAATTTAAATTTTAAATTTCAACACATATGATCATTCTCCGAACTCTTTATAAATATTTATGTCTTGCTTGATTTTTGCTAACGAGTTCCTAAGGCTTACAGGTATTTGTCTTCTTTCGCTCAACTAGTATGAGTGTCTTTTTTTAACTATATTTGGAAAGGTCTCCACACAATCATTTGCCTAATTGTTGCATTGATTCAAATTGCCATGATTAATTTGTTGTATTCCTTTCTTTCCCTTTAGGCTTGTTGTTCTGCTGGCTTGCCTTTTGTCATGGGTTTTTTTTTTCTTTTGGGCTGTTTGTCTATTGATCTGGATTGGAAGAGTTTACTTTGGATTTGACTTAAATTGTCCTCACTACAAGAAGCGATGGCCTGGCTAGACACAGGACACTTGAGTTTGCTCTTCTATAAACTAGCAATAATACTGTTACTTTTGTTTAGATTTGAGAACAGCAGGCTAGGTTTTAATGCATTGTTACAATTCAGAAAAGCTAGTTGCCAACAGGGAAAAAAATGGGAGTAAAGATATATGTATGACCTAAAATCTTGAAATTACTAGCACTTTGGACATCCGATTACTTAAATTTCTAGCACTTGAAACAAAATTTAACCCGATTTTGTGTGCAGGAGAGTATCAGGATATATATACAAAGGCAAGCAAATGATCTCATCAATCTCCTCCAATACAGTGTCTGCTGTGATGTTATCCCTTACGATTCTCATCACCTTCTTGTTGGTAGTCGATTTATCAGTTCTGAATTCAACTCTACGCCTTTTCTGACCATCATCAGCACCCATCTTGAATAGAAAGTCGAATGAGCTCCTTTCAGCAGATTTCCACTTGAAAAGACCTGCTAGGAATGCAAGGAACATCTCGGCCCTGAAAAATAAGACCATCTGCCTCATGGGAAAGCTTTGTGATAAATTACTTTAAAATCTTTGGCACACTAGAAAAAGCAACCAAAAATCTTTTCTCCCCACCCTGAAAGATTCCAGGTCATATCTGCAATAAGACTTTCCGCTTTGGCAAATACTCTTGCGATCCTTATTCCAAGGCTCAATCACTTCTTTCTCGGGCATATTCCATCTTTCAAAGAATGGTTTTTCTTTTGACTGTTTTTCTATAGCTAGCTATGATATCATAAACGAGGTAATCTTCTTTCCCTCTTTCGTGAGCCTGGCAATGTATCAATTACCATCTCTCCATTAACTAGGGTATTATGATGAGTCCTCTTCCTGCAACTGCAGGGGAACCTTATCTGGACTTGTCGGAAATTGAAACTCCTATCAATTAAGTAACATTCAGCACGAGTTATGAACATCATATACCGTGTTCCATCAGCTTTCCATGTAGAATAATAGTAAAATTACCCACATTTAGTTTCCCATGGTGATGGCCATCCAACACTCCAAAATTCTGGATCAAAAAGATTGCAGCTTCAAATTTGCATACCCCAAAAAGAGAATCAGAAAGAATAAGCTTCCCAAATCCCAGTTTTGACACAATTTCAATCTCAGCCCAAAACAGACCAAACAATGGAGGAAAAAGATAGACCATAGAATATTGAAGAATTCAATTTTCATAAACAATTCATTTACACCAGTACATACATACACAATTTTCTATATACCAAACCATAAAATTTATTACTAATCACTCGAAAGAAAAAAAAAAAAAAAAACAAATAATTACCTTTTTTTTTCATCTCTGAATTCTTGTTTCAAAGCATGATCAAAGTGAAGACCCCCACAAAACCTCAGCAATAATAGTAGCAGCCTCAGCATCACTAACAGATGCTTCCCTGACTCTCGTCAAAATCTCTTGCTTAAAAGCCCTTTTCTCTCTTTGTCTCAGCCCTTCCCCAACCTCTAATTGCACAGCAAACCTTGCCACACAGCTTGCAAATGGATGGTTCTCTAAATACTTTTGTTCTCTTTTCTCTCTTTTCATCCTCTCACGTTCCTTATTCTCACCACCAAACTTTCCCATCTCGATCAAAACGCCACCAAGCTCTGACCTTTGCAACTCCACAAGTTTCTTTATCAACTCTCCTTTAAGCAGTGCTTCTACAGCTTCTTTGCGTCCAAAGTAACCAATTTCAAGAATGCAATCAAAGGCCAAAACTTTCATTTCCAGATCCTTGGATTCCAAGAAACTTAAAATCTTGGGAATTTCCCCATTACTGACAATCTCATCCACAAATGGTGATTTAGTAAACTTAATCAGCTCACACAAAACTTTCACACGATGGATTGATCTCATGTCCAAAAGCGCGTGAATTATAACTCCCATATTCACTTGCCCAACAAAAACATCCTTGTTGAATCGAATCAAAGCGGCAATACAAAATGCCGCGTTTTCGCAGATCCGTTTTGAACAATTCGGGTTGCAAAGGACCGATTGTAAAACCAAAAAAGCTTTTGATTTTAGGACTAAATTCTGTAACTCGAGATTAAACCCCTGTGAAAGTCTGTCTTCGAACTGAGTCAGTAATCGGACCAACTCGTCCTCGTTATTCCAAGGCTCGTTCAAACCCTTTATCAAGCTCTCGATGCTCTCACGATCGATCCAGGCTTGAATCTCCGACTCAATCGAACCGGCGACTCGGGAGATGGAGTGAGTCGAGACTCGGCGAGTCAAGAAGCTCCTGAGGCCGTGACCACGAGCCTGTTCGAGGGTTTCGACGAGGCTTTTGAGGTCAGCGAGGTATTGAGAAAGAGAAGAGAGATGTGGGTATTTGGAGAGGATGGATTCGGACTCGGTTTCAAGCTCGAGGAGTGCTTTAACGGCGTATGAGCTAGAGTGAGCCGAGTTGTGAGCTGAATGAGCTTGTAACTCCTGGGAAGCTTGTTTAAGAGCTTCGAGAACCTTTAGAACTCCTAGTTTATCTTCCTGGGACGATGGGTCTTCCATGGCTGCTCGAGAAATGGATGGTTTTTTCTACGTTATATACAAACAAAGAAAAAAGGACAGTCCTTTTGGGGGTGGTCTGTTGGAAGTAGCCAAGAAAGCTCTGAGAAAAGAGCTCAACGACAAGCGTATCCCAGACAGACAGTCAGACAGACCGCCCCTGGATTTGGCCACTCGGGCTTTGTGACTTATTTTCTTTTTCACAGGGATATATAGAAACATTAATTTAATGTTGATTACAAAAAAACTTGGGTTAAACCCATATATAAATGAAAATAAAAACTAATATGGTACTTGTTATTTTGTCAAATTACACAATTGAAATTAATGTATTCACTTACCTAATATAACTTGTATAAATAAATAAATTTATATTTACCTAATATAACTTGTATAAATAAATAAATTTATATGATATCCCTTGAATATTAAAAGAATGAAGAAAAAATCTTAATTTTCATAGAAAGTTTAGAGCTAATTGAATTGCAAAAGCTTTAACTGTTTTAGTAAATTTTGGGTTTAATTAAAAAAAATGAAAAGGCAATCATAGAACTTGACCAATTGATCTTAAATATACAGTCTAATAAACAATTATTCCATCAACTCCTGCAAATCAGTTGATTAATTAAGCCAAGAAAATTGACAAACTATATAAATTTTTTTATGATGCTAATTTCGGCATATCCGAATCTAAGCATCTTGGCACGAGAATATCTCAACAAAACCAACATTTAATTTCTTTTTTCAGCATAGACAAATGACTGATTCCTCATTATTACAAAATCCATGGGACCAAACTCCAAATTAATTTTTTGTTCCTTATAAGAAATCAGTAAATAAATTTGTAGGATGTTGTTTACGGTGGATTTGACTGTCATGAACCCAATACAAACAGGAAACAGCCCACGTTTTCTCCGTGGTCCCTGGGGGTTTTGTCTTTCACTTTTCTGGCTGAAATTTAGCCTGGAAAAATGACAAGGAAAGCTACAGTTTTGGTGTTGGAAAAGTGGGTGTTCATTGTTAATTATGAGACTTTTTTTTTCTTGGTACATATTATAAATTATGAGACTTGGCAAAAAGTTAATTCCACCATTGACACACGGTTTCTTTGATGTGAATCAAGTTGTCTCTAATGGTTGTTCAGATTAAGAAAGCTTTGGCTTTCTTTGGATTTTGGATTCCAAGTTGGTCTGGCTTGTATCAAAGCTGGAATCTTTATCATTACAGCTGACAAATGATTAAAAATGCAATGGGGGTTTTCGTAGGAAGTTTTTTAAGTATCATTTTATGAAAAAAAAAAAGTAAAAACAATTTTGTGATTAAACAGTTATTAAATTGCTCAGAACATTGTCGAATTTTATAACAGATATTGTCATTTGACTTGTTCCATTACTGCCTCTCATTTCCAAGGTTTAGTATTTTTTATTTCAACAAGAGGATTGGCTTTGGTGGGTGACAATGTTACCAAATCAAATGCTTCTAATGCAAAATAATTTACTAGTAAAATTCAAAGTGAAAACTTGAACCAAATATCAATATGGATTGGTTTAATTGGAAAAATTGTTCATTTGAATGCAAAGACTTTAGGCTTGAATTTAGTCGATGATCTCTTATTAAAATGACTTTCAATCATTATTTATAAATTATCGAGTATAAAGATTCATATTTAACTTAAAAAATTAAATAATCTATTGTTCTTGAATTATAAATAAATAAAAAAACTTGAACCAAAATTTCATGGTCAATTTCCATTCAATTAGTACTTTATTTTTTTATAAGGTCTTTTGGAATCAATATTTTTATACAATTTAAATTTAAAAAATTAATGATAATTTCATTTCAAAAAAAAAAAAAAGACCATGTCATTCTCCCAGGACCAAACCCAAAGATTCTCACCCAAAGAATGTCACCGTTCGCGAGAAAGATCGTATCGAAGGATTCTCACCGGGATAAGGTGATAATTTCCATTGAATTAGTACTTAATTTTTTTGTAAGGTCTTTTTGGAATCAATATTTTTATGCAATTAAATTAAAAGAATTAATGATAATCACATTCTAAAGAAAAGCCAATTATGACATTCTCCTTCACTTATTCTAATAAGTTGCTAGAGGATGCTATGCCCACGGAAGAATGTCACAATCTGCGAAAAGAACCAAACCTAAGGATTGTCGTCGAGATAGAGAACAATTTTAAGGCAAGGGGACCAATATATCAACTGTCACAAACTTGGGATTTATTCCAATGCTCCATGCCTTAAATTGGACTTCCTCCTTATATGCCTAAGCCAGCCCAATGCTCCTTGTGGCCTTAGGTTGGACTCCTCATTATATGCACATTCTCGAAGAATGAGTCCCTCCTTGTATGCCCAACTCCCTCTTTATATGCCTAAGTTAGCCTAATGCTTCGTGCGACCTTAAGTTGGACTCTTTCCTTATATGCACATTCTTGAAAAGTGAGTTCCTCATTGTATGTCTAACTCTTACAACCTTAAACTTAACTCCCTCTTTGTATGCTTAAGTCAACTTAAAAAATCAAACTCCCTCATTGTATGTTTAGGTCAGCCTAAAAACATCCTCAAAACTCTTGAAGAGTGAGTCCTTCCCACATGCTTAAGTCAACTTGAAAACACACTCTCTAAAAGTGAGCACTTAAAGAACACTAAAAGACACTCTAAAGTTCCCTTTTGTATGCCTCATTGTATGCCTAAGTTAGCTTAAAGTTTCTCATTGTATGCATAAGTCAACCTAAGTCAAAAAACACTGAAAGACATTCTAAAGTTTTTTCTTGTATGCCTAAATAAGCTTAAAGTTTCCCCTTATATGCTTAAGTCAACATGAAAACATTTTTGAATATGCACTCAAAAGAACACTGAAAGACACTTTAAAGTTAAAAAAAACTAAAAAAATAGCTAAAATATAAGAGATGCTTAAAAATATTATAACTTGTATTCACTCAAGTATTTTTATATATCAAATGAGAGTGGAGAGACATTCTATTTATAATTGAAGCTCCTATAAATCAATTATCATAATTGACTCAATCCAATGATTATTACAGAGTTCAAAATTATAAAGAAATTACATAAGATATACATTAAAAGTTTAAATTTTGTAGGAAACTATCCTATCCTTTAGAGTTTCCATATCCTTATAAAAAGTTTAATCTATTGGGTTTACTTGGGTCTGATATACCCGCACTTGGACTGATCTGTCTACACCAGGGCCTCATCCATCTGGGACCCGTTTACCTTGCTCTGAGGAACTTGTCCAAACGGTCCGGATTATTCTAAGGTTTACGCCTGCATTCTGCGTTCCTATTGCGAGAGGAACCCTCGTCACTTGTGCTGGGCCTCGGTTGTGCCGCGCGGGCAACATTATATTCCAAATTCGAGTTTTTTTTTTTTCAATTAACAGGTAAAAACACTAAAGATATGCTATGAACCAAAAAATGACATATTCTCTGACAATGAACAATCAATTTAATCCCGAGATGCACGTGCTAATATGGACCAACTGCCACATGCACGTGCTAATATGGACGAACCGCCAAACTTTCCAATAGCCTCTTGCCACGTGACAATTTGATCCAATCAGAACAATTTAACACAAATTATGAGCAAAACGACAAACGGTCGTCTCTAACGTACGCCACTTCTGCCTATACTGTCCCCACTAACGTACGCCTCATGGAGTAGTTTCCATTTTATCATTGATGTAATGACTAACACATTTTTTAGTAATTATCTGTTTCTGTATGTTGGGATGGTTTGCTTTTGATTGTATTTGGAAGTGAGGAGATGACGTATTTTTCATAAGGGTATGTGGCAGTTTGGTAGAACATTGTTGGGTTAGAAGTGCAATGAAGATGGGTGTTGATATAATCCAATCAATGTAGTTCTTCTCTAGTGGAAAATTATGTAAGGCTATGGTGACCATGGTTTTGGACAACAAATAGTTTGTAGCCAGCCAAGACAAAATTTTGAGTATGAGGACTATGTAGTTAGCAGATGCTTTGGTTTCTGGTTCCATTTCATGCCACGTATAGCATTTAGTTTGACAGTTTGAACTTTGAACACCAGTTATCTGTTACTGGAACTGGATCTTCCCAATCTAACAAGTAAAGTTCAACAGATGCAAAGACGTCTTTAAAGTTTCTCTCCTCTTGTGATGGTTTTTAAGTAGCATCATAGTTCTGAGTTTACTCTCTCCCTTTCATTTGATGCATTTCATTACTTAAACAATTAAAGTAGTGAACTTTTTTTTTTTTGTTTTAAAAGTATGGATTAGAGTCACTAAAAAAAAAAGTGTGGATTAGAGTACATGCAGGGTGACTTGTTTTCAATGCTTTGTGCATCCCTAAAGCTGCTTGATTGGAACATATAGTGGAATTTTCGTGTAATAATATTTGCTATTTGTAGATTGTTGTCTTTTGGACACATTGCTGTTTAATCCTGAATGCAGAATCATGCCAGGGGTCGGTAAGATGCAGTCTTTGCTGTTTCAACTCATATTGATGTCTTTTGTTTTCTTGAACTCTGTGAACAATGTGAATGCTGGTATCACAAGTACCTTCATTCGGAAGGAGTGGCCATCAGTAGACATCCCTCTTGATAATGAAGTATTTGCAGTTCCCACAGGACCTAATGCCTTTTCATTTTATTGTCTTCATATATTTCTACTAGATAAAGTTTATCGAAATATGTATTCGTTAGTCCTATTTGTGTTCTCAATGATTATTAGCTGAGTTTGTGTAAGAATTATATTATGCCAAAAAAAAATCTAAAAAAAAGGACTGAAGATTATCTTCTCATTTCTTCTTTTTATCTTGCTACTTACAGCATTAAATATGCCATACTCTCCTATGTTCTGAGGCATTTCATTTGCTGACTGCAATCTTTCTAGGTATCAAGTAGTTTTCTGGTTACCCTCTATTCTGAGAAAACTAGGGGACCACCATTCAAGAACAAATTTTATCTGTGGAACATGCAAGGCTTGATTACTAAATCTATGCATTATATCTGTCAAAGTGTGTTGCTCACTGAAAATGGCTCAATAAATTTGTGCTCATGAAGCATGCTTTCCAATTACACAGGGCATCTTACCATCCATCTATTGTCATGCTGGCTTCTATTCCAATCCCTTTGCCCACCTATTTCTAACATACATGTTATTTCAACTGTAGGTGCATATAACGCAAGGGAACTATGATGGAAACGCTGTAATTATCTCATGGGTCACAGCTGATGAACCAGGGTCCGGCAAAGTACAATATGGCACATCAGAGAAAAAATATGAATTTACTGCAGAGGGGAAAATGACAAACTACACCTTTTGCAATTACAATTCTGGCTATATTCATCATGTTCTTGTTGATGGCCTTGAGGTAATAATCATTATTACAGAAGTAATACTTTCACGAATGGCTTAACTTCTTCAAGATGGAAAGAAGTTCTTAGTTGCCAGTTTTTTATTAGAAGAAGCTTATTCTACAACTAGTGTGCCCTTAGTATTTATGGGTTTTTTATATAGAAGAATTAATTCTTTTAGGCCTTCCATCACTCAAACTTACAAGAATGGACTTTAAGTTCAGTTTGGATTTGAACTTATAGTTGGTGTTGTCAACTGAACTGAGATAGGAAGAAATTGGTTGCTTAATCATTTATTTATTTATTTATTGTTCTCAGTATGATCCCAAGTACTATTACAAGATTGGGAGTGGTGATTCTGCACGAGAGTTTTGGTTTCAGACTCCTCCAATGATTGGTCCAGATGTTTCTTACAAATTTGGAATAATTGGTGAGTGTTTTCCTCTGTAATCCAAAGCAATGTTGGAATGTTTTCTGTCACTTGAATCAAGCTGTTCTGATGCTAGATATTGGCTATTTATACATATGTCCACAAATGAAAATGGATAAGAAGATAGAGATTATGTAAATTCATGCATAAACCGCATCAAGCTCATATGAAAAATTTTATTCCTTTAGTTTATTAGAATCCATTAATTTTTCTTTAAAAAAAAAAAAAAGGTGTTCAACTCTGTATGAACTCTTATCACTGCTTGCAAACCTGCTTCTTTTTGATAACCCATTGGCTATCAAAATCGTTGTTTATGCTATACTGGTGACAAGTAAAATGTTGGTATTTTATTGAAGATAACACAAACTTTATTTTTTATGCTGGTAAAAATGTAAAAATGTACATTTTAAGACATGAGAAAATTGAAGTCAGCTACATGAAGTCTAAAATCCCAACTAGTTGGATCAGTTGCACAATCATGTTTACCATTTAATCAAGTTCAACTGCTTAATCAACCATATTTTCATATATTAACATGCAGATTTTTCTAGTCTCTCTCACATCCTTTGCAGAAAATTTAACTCAATTCACATTAATCAGATCAGACTCATATCGTACTTTCTTGATGCCATGTCTTTTGATGAACTCATATTGATGTGCTTCTTCTATACTTTTTCTTTTTCTTAAATTTATGTTGATTGATTTTTTTTAATATGTTGCAGGTGATTTGGGTCAGACATATAATTCATTGTCCACTCTTGAGCATTACATGCAGAGTGGAGCACAGACAGTACTGTTTGTAGGAGATCTTGCTTATGCTAATAGATATCAATATAATGATGTTGGTATACGTTGGGATTCATGGGGCCGCTTTGTTGAGAGAAGTACTGCATATCAGCCTTGGATCTGGTCTGCTGGGAATCATGAAATAGAATACATGCCTTACATGGTAAAGCATTGAACAAGCATTACTATTACATTATTGCTAAAAATCATACGTTACTTTCTGGTGCTATGAACTTTGCCAAACTATGATTTTTAGCAATGCATTAGAATCATTCTTTGCGCTATATTTATAGTTTGGCAATAATGTTCTCTCACTCTTTGCGCTAGAACATTAGAATCATTCTTGTTTGGTGCTTAACTTTCAAAATTCTGAAAAATGTGCAGAATGAAGTTATTCCTTTTAAATCCTATCTCCATCGGTATCCTACACCTCATTTGGCTTGTAAAAGCAGCAGCCCTATGTGGTATGCTATTAGACGTGCATCTGCTCACATTATTGTGCTATCCAGCTACTCTCCATTTGGTACTTTTTCTTCTTCTCTTCAACTGTTTATGTTCATCCTAATTAGCTATTGAGCATCGTGCAATTTCTGGTCCTCTTCTCAAAATTAATTATCAGTCCAAGAGGGCAGAGATTGCATTTTTCTTGTCTTTTTATATCTTAAATCAAACTTGATTTAACCTTTTCGTAATAGTGAAATACACACCTCAGTGGATATGGTTCAGTGAAGAATTAAAGAGGGTTGACAGGGAGAAGACCCCTTGGCTCATCGTCCTTATGCATGTTCCACTCTACAACAGTAACGAAGCACATTTCATGGAGGGTGAAAGTGTGAGAGCAGTCTTTGAAGAATGGTTCATCCATTGCAAAGTTGATGTAATCTTTGCTGGTCATGTCCATGCTTATGAAAGATCTGTATGGTTCTTTCGTAATAATTTCACTTTCCATTTTTCCTTCTTAGCATTGCCTTTATTTTGCATTAACCAACTCATTCAGGGTAATTCTTTTTAAATGATTAATTTGATTTTTATCTGAAGAATGGCTTATATGTTTTTTCCTCTGAACTTTCAGAATCGAATCTCAAATGTAAGGTACAATGTATCAAGTGGTGAACGTTACCCCGTACCAGACAAATCAGCTCCCATTTACATCATTGTTGGAGATGGTGGAAATCAAGAAGGTCTAGCAGAAAGGTTAGTTAGATGATATATTTGACATTTTCTGCCTGCATAAAGCAACAATAATAATAACATCAATGACATTCCTCATCGTTTTTAGCAAATGTTTTTGGGTTGTATAGATTTAGAGATCCCCAACCAGAGTATTCTGCATTCCGAGAAGCCAGTTATGGCCATTCGACACTGGAGATCAGAAACAGGACACATGCATTCTACCAGTGGAACCGCAATGATGATGGGAAAAAAGTGGCAATTGACTCATTTGTATTACACAATCAGTTCTGGTGAGTACAATTAACCATTTCTTGCTCTAGTTAGCCATTGATGCACCTTCCAAGTTTTATGCTATTTGATCTGTCAACCTCATTTAGTTACGTGAAGCACCTTTTAAACCAACTGCTTAGCTGCACTTACGAAGTGTCACTAAAATCTGACAACATAGATGCACCAGAAAAAGAAAATGATGGTATATAGGTAATATTCACTGAAAGCAATTTGGCAATTTGAGATGCAGATCTGTGATTGAATTCAAAAGATGAGGTTGGACTGACTTGTTTTCATGCAGGTCAAATAATCTGAGACGAAGAAAACTGAAGAAGCATCACTGGAGGAGTGTGCTTGGACGGACTGCTTCTTTTTGAGAAGATGATGTTTCCATCAAGCATTTCATCTCTGGTATGCTAATGCTTGATGGAGTTTCAGTTAAGGAGATGAAAATGATGGTTAGCGAAGATGAAAATTTCGTACTGGAGATGCATGAAGCTCCTCTTGCAGTGATTTTTTCTTCTAATTCATGCTTTGAAAATAAAATCTTGAAATGGTTAATAATGTAAAAGCTGTAGTAAAATCTCTAGAATTATCACTGCTAGAGCTGGCTCTTCCTTTATTAATGTCTGAATCAATAATATTGACAAGTTCGTTAATTGATCTATGGCACTCCATGAGCTATACACGACGGATTTCGAAGACATCCAATAAAGATTCGTCGTAAAATAGTTGTAAAACAAGGGCCAAACGGCCTAACTTTGTGGATTTCCTAAAGATTTGTTTCATAGAATTCAGAGAAAATGATACTAACCAACAGTAATACCAAAAGAAAGCTTTACCTTGATAAAAAAAATGAGTGACAGGACCCTGCTCTGCGTGCTAAAATGAAATTGGAAATTCCATTTCTCATGTAAACCATGCTGTTTGTTCTGAATGGTATAGTATCCCAAAACTCCAACTTTACACAAAGCCTAGAGCTGCTGAAAAATATTTATGTACGCAGTTTTAAGTATTAGCTCCTACAAGTACATACCCAGGGTATCGGGACTGACTACTGAGGGTAGAACACCCTCTCAGAGCTGTGATATAGACGATACTGAACATGGTCAACCCAGGAATTGGAATAATCTGGCTTTGGAATCGACTTGAGTCGCAAACTCAGATTTGCATAACTGGTTCTCTCATATTAGAACTCCGAACCTGTCTTCGGATCACTTAGGAGTCACGGAAAATTGGCTGTGGCATCCACTTAAGTTGCAGATTCAATTTTCCGGATTTAGCTCCCTCTATCTGGAGGCAATCTTTGTATTCCCCTTCCAAAATAACCCTAGTCAATGTCAAAATGCATCTCCCCATGTAGTCCTGCAAGATAGAAAAACAAAAACTACGTTAGCATTATTACTCGTAAAATTTAAAATGGAAGCCTTGATCCGCACACCGAATGTTTATAATCACCCCCAACCACTTCAGCCAAGCCCTAGATCGCAAAGCATTCAATGTCAAGAAATAATCAAGTAATTTCATTTTTTAAAGTTGAAAGAAAAAGGAAGGAAAAGAGGAACTCCCTTTTAGTTGGAACTATCATAGAAACCAGAAATCAAATATATAATCTCATAACCACCAACAAAGAGTTGAAAATGCAACCTAGCATCCAAGGGGCCCCAGGAGATGGATCCCCACACCCCAACCTTCAAATGGATGTAACTGATGGAAGTAGCTTAAAACTTACTAGTACTACACTGCGTAATTTCGAAACCAAACAGAATTTATATGACCAGTAAAGAACAATTTAACAGTAATAGCAAATAATTTACCTTCCCAAAAGTGTCATGGTCCCAGACTTCAAGGATTAGCATATCATGTAATCCATCCTCGACAACAAAGTCAAATGTTTGATTCCAAACTGGATTCAAGCTTTCATTCACAACCTGACAAAGAAAATAACTTTAAGGACCAAAGATTCTTTATGCGCCCATTTCTGAAGGATAGAAAACAAAAGATCCTTACAAGAGTCCAGGATCGTTCACTAAAACGCCCAATTAGCTATAATACTATGCAGAGCAAAAGGATAAGAACAAAAAGGAAAGTACACGAAAAGGCAAGCTTTGTGAGGACTGACGAAACCATAACTAATTGAATCCTTTAAACATTAAAAAATAACAAAGATGCAGGCAGTGGCCAAGCCTCCACTTGGTAGATGCTTTCGTTTTTTGTTTTTACTGCAAAAAGAAAGAAAAAAAGAAAAGAAAAAAAATAAAATAAAATGAATAGAAAATCAAAGACAAATGGCAAAAAGTAAAAAGCAAAAGCATCTATCAATTGGAGGCAGGCTAATTGTTAGCCACATCTCGCATACTCCATGGTTTCAAGTCCCCCCACTTCATGCCCCAACTTAACCACGAAACAAATAAATAAATATAGAAGGATAACAACTCCAGCTTGGCTTACCCTAGTTTTGTTTTTCGCTCCTGATTTCTTCATTGTGAGCACAACATAGGGATCAGCCTTTCCCATTAAATCAACAACAGGCAAATCTTCAGCAGATATCACAGTCACAGACAGTACTCCTCTAATAATAACCTCCTTTTTCTTCTGTGTAAATGCTTTTTCATTTTCAATATCATCAGTTCCATTTGCTCCACTTTTAAGAACCCTCTCCAAGGAGGTCATTGAAAAGTTAGGCGAAAAGGGGTTTGTAAAACCATTCTCCATGCCAAAGGGACAGTACAAGAGCTCCAAGTGCACCTAAAACCCAACATAACCATTTCAAGCAAGACATCAATATCATCATTTCATACAAATACAAAATTTCTTGGAACGACAAACAATCTAAGAAAAATAATATAAAAAATTTATAACTTAAAGAGTGAGTGAATGAGTGAGTGCATGCACTTGGGGCCAAAAGTTGCTTGGCATAATCTGGTTTGGAAGTCTCTCTCCCTAAGCACAGGTCCATTGCTTGGCTTGTTGTGTTTGGATAGGTTAAGTACTCTTTTTCGTTGTATGAGTTGAGGCCCTAGTCTTTATAAAACTACATGCTATTTCTATGATGAGGAGGACGAAACCAGAGACATATATTCTTGAACCACATCTTTCTAAAGAGGATTGGAGGAATATTCTGGAGAAGATTCTTATTGTAAGGCAGATTGGTAACAGGCTGGTTGAGTTTGGTTGAATCCTTGCTCATTCCAAGGGTAAGACTTTTAAGGCTATCTTGCTGATAGGGGCTTTGACTGCTTACCTACTACATCTGGAGAGACTGGAACTTCAGGAAATTCAGATGTAACTCCCATAATACTTGCAATCTATTATAGATGATATATAAAATCTAGGCTGAATGACACTGTTAACATAGTTGATTCCCCCACCAATAGAATTCCGTATGATAAGTGGGGCATTGATGTTGGGAAAGTTAATTTTTCTCTGGATTGGTATCTTTGTACTTTTGTAGCAGGTTTCTCCTGCTTTCAAGGATAATACAATGCTCATTACCCAAAAAAGAGAATCATGAGAGAGAGAGAGAGAGTAAATATTGACATTCAAACAAGTAAGCTATGCCACAACAGACAGATAAAATACCAAAGAAAATGTTTGTTAAAAGTTAAAATTATCCTTCTATCAACCATCCAAAAAGTAATGAGCAAATGTTTGTGTAAATTAGGAGAAACACTTTGATCCTACACTGCAGGCATTACAATTTGAAAAAATGAAAAGCTACTATAGGAAAGAATTACCCTTGAACAAATTCAATTTAGCTGAAAACACATGCAAGTACACAAATGCATGACTCATTAATCATTATACAACTAGAGGAGGGTTATTAATGTCCTCACCTGCCCCCTGTTCTTAGTATCTCTCTGGATCTCCAAGTCTTTAACCAGATTTAACCAGACATCCTTCACTTTACCAGGTTCAAGTTCCCTTAGATGTACTTGAGCACATCCAATGAGTTCAGATGCCTGAAGCCCCTCATCATCATAAATTTTTACCACCAAGTGCTGAGTTGTTGCATCCTCAATAACAAATTCATAATGCTCATTCCAAATAGGATTCAAATCATTGTTCTGGGGAAAATACACAAACATTTCTTCTAAACCGCTGGAAAATTATTTAAATAATTTCTCTTTCCTTAGGAAAGAACAAAGAGGAAGCATGGAGGGGAGAGACAACTTACAATTATTTTACTTCTTTTTGTTTTGTCAGGTAAAGGGCGTACATATAATGAAGCATAGGGATCTGATTTTCCAATAATATCTTTGTTTGTTAAGTCCCGTGCCTGGACAAGCTTCACCTCTAGTATTCCAACAGGCTTTAACTCCAAATCACTGAAAATAGAAAGGCATTTATTTGACCATCAGCCCTGCCACTCCTTAGGTGTTGAGAGAGAGAGAGAGAGAGAATGATGCCACCTCCTAAATAACTTAACTAATTCACAGGCACTCACATCCTATCTTAGGATACACACAGTATTTATATTCAAAAGAAAATACATTTATATTACAAGGTCACCTCTGCTAACTACAATTTCAAATAAAATTTAGCAGGTCCTTCATATACTTAGATGGCTACTACATTCTTTGCTTCAGATTCTATATTGCCCTGTAGGCAGCAACAAGGCTTTCTGTACGTTGCCCATATGTTGGCCTAATGTCCCTAGTTCTTTCTTCTTTTCTACATTGAACTAGATTATTATCTATTAAAATAACGAAAAAGTCATACCTATAGTCACCAGGCAAAATAGGAATAATTTTTCTGACTGGCCACATGATAGAATCTTCAATAGCATCCCTTATTGTGCTCTGTATCAGAAACAATACAATAATATGTTAATCTCATTGACATATGAATAATACCTTCCATCTCACAGAGTTGAACAATGAAAACTTAGTACAGTGTATCACCATATGAATCATGGACACCAATATCAGAGACCAATTACTAACTTATATGCAAGGTATAGCATATCTAATCATTTAGGAGAAGTTGTCCATAATATTTTTAGATTAACTTCACCATTAATCATCCATGTGAAACCTAAAGCTCACACACTGTTACAAACCTAGCATGATGTTTCAACTTTAAAACTTACTAGTTAAAACCAATTCAAGTGCCAAATCCTAAGACAAGAAATCCACTCTGGAGTCTGGACAGCCTATTTGTTATCCTTAACTAGGCAAATAATTTACTTTAAGAATAAATGCCAATGTCATGAACAACTTGCATTCAGTAGGCAGGGTTTATCAAAGTCCAAAATTCTATAAGCTGGATACAATTCTGTGCTCTGATTTTGTATAATACAGGAACCAATTTAACCAATGCAACAAATTTAGTTCTAACTCATAGACGTTATAAACGAACAATCGATCCAAAATGATGTTTGTAAACTAATCTAGCTGATTCCCCAAGAAATTGAGCCAAAAACTTTCCCCAGGACCACCACATGACAACCATATGCATCAGTTTGCATGAAGGACAACACATGTAAAAGACAGAGCCAAACAAACCAAAGTTCTTATCTTCATTTTTCAGGGTCATCACGAAGAGAAACTTTGACAGTAACAACAGCAATAAAATCATCACTACTAACAAAATCCTTGAGTTTACAACGGATTGGTTATCATGGTGGAAAATTCTCAAAAATTGTCCACTTGTTGGACGAAAACAAGTTACACCATAACATGGCAAGCAGCAAGTGCCACTAGTAACATAATCCCTAAACGCACAAAGGGTAGGTTATAATAGTGGCAAATTCTCAAAAATTACCCAATCCTTAGATGATGCAATTTACTCCATACCATGCCAGTCAGCAAGCACTACTGACATGATGGAATGCCCAATAGAACAAATATTTGATATTTTGATGGGTCCATGCATGGAGACCTGATGATCATGGCACTAAGATTCCTTTCCTGTGTCAGAGACCGTCCTCCAATGTACCAACAGATTAAGAACTGAGCAGTGAGGATTAAATTGCTTTCTCCTGCCCAGCTTTCACCATTTTTGGGTTTTTTTTTTTTGCTGTAATAAGTTCAGCGGATGCATCAATAAATTGATCAAATCCCAGCATAAGGGAGCTTTGGCCTAAATCTTAGCACAATTATAATCTTTCAGGAGTCATCCTTGTATCAAGGTGTGCCATATTTTTTACAATGTCAAGAAATTTTGCAAAACTAAACCCCTAGGATACACTATTATGTTTGAGCATATGAAAACTAAAAGTGAAAATTCAAACTGAAAATTAAAATTCTCCAAAAGCAAAAAGCTTCTGTTTGCAGCTACATTAATGCAAAATTAAGACCATAAGAATAATTGGCAAAGTTGATTGATACAGCAGAAAATTCATGTAGTGAAGGGGTAAGGTAATCCAGTGTCAAAGTCACACAAACCTCAATAGCATCAGAAAGTCCAGGAATAGTTGATATGTCACCACCAATGACTTTCAGGGTGAAATCCAACTTCTTCTGCAAGCCACAAGATGCACATGTACTTAGTTATATCAATTACATACCTATGCATAGTGCCAGTATGCAGTGAATGTGCGATGAATCTGACCATGCAAGGGCAAAATATTACACATTCAGTAGCCTAGTTAATGGATCAAAGTTAGCTCCACTTGGACATCATGAATATTATCCTCAATTGAAGCTACAGTATATATCAGTTTTTACAGAGATTTTATACACAGCAACCATGTGATTCCTATTTAGCAATCAAATCAAGCACCAAAAAAAAGACACCGGAAACAAGAGTGAAATTTGTCAATTACTTGTGTTCTAAGGGGAGCAAAAAAATTAGCACCTGCTTATATCTGAGTGAGTACAACTGAATTGCTCAGTCTTATGACCTTAGTTAATCACTTCAATAAATAGCAAACCAAAAAGAAATTCGTCCTAGCATCGAATTCCTTTCTGTTTCTTTGGGTAGCAAAATATTTGCATTCATGTAAATATTATATAAATCGTCAAATACCTCCCAGATACACTAAATCCAACATATATAAGTAAAGTAGCATCTCAATCACCTTTCTTTCTGTCTACAATTAAAGCTCTTTCTCCATGGGTAAGCATGTGTGCTCAACATACATTAACTTGTACTATCAGAAACAACTAACAAACCTTTTTTCTCAGAGAAAAACAAACAGCTCCAAAGCAAGGAAACTCATTCACTAGCGGCTTAAATATCAACCTGAAAACTCCAGTGAATCCAATATCTTTCACCTAAGTCAAAGGAAAAAGGAATTAAACATCAACAGCTGTCATTCTGGAGGAAAAGTTTAACAACTTGAGACATGATGCTGTTATATAACATTAAATCCATTGCCAAAGAAAAGTAAGGCCACAATAAAAAGGAATAAAATTGGTTTATGATATCCGTGCTGTTACAAGCATAGTTGCTTATGCAATGTCAAAAGGGAGAAGGGGTTGGAACAGTCCCAAATAACAAAATATTACTATGAAATAGAAATCTAGGAAGGTAAGTTAGCATTAATTGATCTACTATCTATAAACCTTTTGCATGAAGCTTTTGAGAAATCCATACATTACAATTTACAAATGTCTACTAGACCTTAGGCATATTAAAAGATCCCTGAAAACATCATATGCTTGGTCTTCATTCTTTCAGAGATCAAAGTCCTTGATGACTACCCGACAAATGCTCAAGCACTCCTTAGTTTCAGAACCACTACTCAATAAAATTATACTTTATATCACATTCAACAAAACTGCAGCAAGGAGATAAGGCAAATATTTTATGAACCTCCAATAGGATTAACAATGGAAAAGCAGAAATTTGAAAACAGAGTACATAGAACAATTTTCTAAAAATAAGGATCAATAATATTATAGCTCTATATTCTAGAAGCAACAATACATAACCTAAACAGGGCATTTTAAGGGAATCCAAGCGAGCAATGATAGTAAACAAAAAACCAAATGCAGACAATACCTGCACAGGTAGTGATACACCAAGATAAGTCTTGATATCAAGTATTATACTTGAATTTGCATCCCACTGCATTTCCATCTCCATTGTAACACTATCAGCTCCATCTTCAACAATACTTACTCCTAAAGCATGACATCACTTCATAACATTATTAAAATTCTATAGACCCAACCAATTTTTAGAATCTTTCATTCAAAAACTCACCCATAGAAGCATCATTTTGAAAGCAATTCCCCACTACCCCCCCCCCCCCAAAAAAAAAAGAAAAAACTCGTTTTGTTTGCACCCAATATGGATACATTAGGCTCCATTTAGTTATTGTTATTTTTTTGTGCTTCCAGAAGAAAAAGAACAAAAGTGTGTTTGGATTAATTCAAAAAAAAAAAAGAGCAGCCTGTATTTATGAAGATTAAAAAATTAAACTTCTTAAATAACAAAAATGGCTAAAATACTAAAAAAACCCTACACTATTTCACTCTTCTTAAATAAGCCTCTATACTTTTATTGTGTCCAAATAAACCCTAATACTTTGATTTGTGTCCAAATAAACCCTTATTTCAAATGAAAAAATGATTTATTTTAAGGGTTTATTTAGGAAAAAATTAAAAGTTTAAAGGGTTATTTGGATACAAATTAAAGGTTAAGAGCTTATTTGGGTTCAAATTAAAAATTAAAGGCTTATTTGAAAGCAATAAAAGTATAAGTACTTATTTAAGTAAAGTTATAAAGTTAAAGAGCTTTATTCCCCTATACAAAATATTTTATTTCCCTGTACTTATGTAAAACAATTATGTTTGAATTGATGTTTTATTTTAGTGATATGCTAGAATTAATGGCCATCCATTTACTTCAAATGGCAAAAACGAATAGCATTGAGAAAGTCCATAAACAATTCAAAACCAAACATAAATAAATAAATAAATAACGGTAACCCAATGAGAAAATAAGAATCAAAATTTGAGAATAATTTCCATAAACTAACCAGTAAACTGTGGTGCAACAGTGCCAAGAGTAAACTTGGAAAACTTTAAAGAAGCCAATATGATCGGCCTATATTGCTCAAGCACCGGCTCCACCGAAGTCCTTATTAGTTCAGATGCTGCCTATGACACCAAATTTAAACAATTAAAAAAAAATGGTCAATATCTTTTTTCCACTCTGTTTCATTCGTTAAACAAAGCTTTACCTCATTAACATAAGGCCAGATCTTCGTAAGGTGTTGATTAAGCCACGTCAACTTCTGGCGCTGCGAGAAGACCACCCAAGAAGGGTAAAATTGTGGCGGCAAGATCTTTCTAGAATCTTCCACCGTCATTCTTGCAAAAGCAGCCACCGTCGTTGCCTGTAACACAAAAAAAAAAAAAGGAAATTAAAAAAAATAGAAAGGAAATACAATAAAATTCGAAAAAGAAGAAGAAAGAACTAACGAGTTCATTCCGACGCTTCGATCGAGAGTTCTCCGAACGAACAAAGAGAACGATAATACCGAGGCCGACGACAAGCCCAATTACGAGTCCGGCAACGAAACCCATTTTCAAGATTGGAATTTGAGAACGAAAGCACACTTTTTTTTATTTTTTATTTTGTTTCTTCTGAAAGCTCAATGATGGTGAAACTTTTAAAAAGGTCAAAGATTAAAAAAAAAAATGCTTTTGAAGATTTAGCGGTGGGTTAAGTGGCAAAATCGTGAAATTAAGTAAAGAAACAGAAGATTAAGACACTTAATAAGATTTTAGGGGGCGGAGAAATCGCGGCAGGAGATGCAAGAAAGTGAGTGAAAGGTCGTTGCCGACATAAAAGGCAATCCTTTTGGTTGTGAAGTGATTTGGCTTATTAGAGTATGTTTACCGATCAGATTGCGACACGTCGCGTTTAGATTTTGCGTCGGGTCTCCCCCAGGTTGGTTTTTCGCACGTAGCGATTTTCATTCGCTTCTCACTTCTACAAATTTTACTATTGTCTATTGGGCTTGGGCTTGTTGAGCTTGATTTGAACAGCTTATTTAAAAAGGCCTTGAGTTGAGTTGCACCATAGCTGCCTCTCGGTCTAATTTGTGTGAATCTACTCAAGGGCCAGGCTTAGGGTTTTGTTTTAAAACCTTGAGGCCCAAGTTTGTAGACAAGCCCAATAGGCTGCTAGCTGGACACCAAGCAGTGCAATAGCAATGTCAATAGGGCTTCCCCAGTTAGATTAATAAATTACTAACGCCTTTCCATGATAGCTTTCAAAAAAACCATTTTTCTTGAGGGGTTAGCCAGATACAGCAATGTTTTTCAGCATTTAGCTGCAAACTGAGGTGCATGCTTTTATTCTCATCTACGAGACATATGTTGTAAAAGCTGGAGCACCGGCTACACTTGCCCAAATGACTTCTTCATCTTGGGGATAACAGTTAAGCAACATTTTTCGACATGTCATGCAAATATTATTGCATGATGATTCTGGTGAATATCTGTATTTTTGGGGAGCTGTGATTGACATTGTTTGTCATATTGTGATGAAGCCAATTACAAATGAAAGGTCAGTCTCCAAATCTAGGCGAGTGAATTGGATCAGTGAAATAAAATGAAATAATATATAATTGAAGTGAATATCCTCTTCATATTTACTTTTGATGCTTTGCCAGAATGACACTGTCTGAGACTTGAAGCAAGAGAACGAGGCAAACAGCATCATAGCTTTTGGTTTAGACCAATTTTTGTTTTTACAGGAAGCTTGAAAAGAGGGGGAAAAAACAAAAGAAAAGTGAACAACAGCAAGAAGCAGCAACGAAATACACAAAAAGAAAACAAAAAAAGAACAATGAAGGATAGAGGATACTACTATTAAACCTCTTGCGTTACCCTCGCCTTGAGTTCTTGAGGTAATCAGCCCTTATTGCCCATAACTGTTCTGCCACAGATTTCATTTCTGGTCGATCATTTCTTATCGGTGCTGCACATTGAAATGCCAAAGCAAATATCTTCACTAGTATCTCTGCATCTACAACTTCTTCCATCATACGATCCACCAACTCCACTGCATGTCCTTCATTATACTTATGGAATGCCTGTACATTAAAACCATAAATTCAGAGGTTGTAAAATAGGAAGCAAACAAGAAGCTATTAGTTTCCAAGACTGAATAACTTGGGTCTTGGGTAACTTGAAGCAAGCTTCACTACCTAGCTTCTTTAGCCATGTCAATCCAACTCTTCATAATTTTTTTTTCTAGTGTACCCTCGTTTTAGACACACAAAACTTCAAAATAAATAGACACAAACCCACATCCACCACTCAAAAGTCCAGTAACATGATGCTTATTAGCATCAATGTTAGGTGATTGTAACTTTGCTGCTGCACTTCAGCAGTTGCACTATCTATTGATTAATGGTGGTGACTTGTAAAATTAACATTAAAGAATGAGGCTGTGAGTTTATCCATCCTACCATCATAGGTTGAAGTCTGGACTTGGTTCTTGAACTCAACTAGACTTCCCTGTATCTATGAACACTAAAGAGTAGTCCTCATAAGTCATATCCTTGGTCCATATCTCCATGTAGTAGAACCATGGAGAGTTAAGGCCGTCAACATAATTGCTCAACAGACTCTGCTATAGCTTTACATCTAATTCATTAAGAGAATATGAAAATCCTAACAAAAATAAATTATTTGGCCAAAAAAATATATATTCATAAATTAGATGAGATTGCCTGTATTTCTGAAGCTATTCCTTGTGTTTTTACCAAAATAAACACAAAAGCCATGATGTAAAAAGCTTAACAAGTGAATGAAGGGAAAGCTTACCCATCTGAGTGTCACGCGCTCGTCAACTGGTCTCCTTACCTCCACAGGACGGCGGCCAGTCAGAATTTCTATGAGTAAAATCCCGAACGAGTACACATCACTCTTGGTTGTGAGTTGATAGGTTTTCATGTACTCAGGATCAAGGTAACCAACTGTTCCTTTCACTTTAGTTGAAATATGTGTTTGGTCCGAGTCCAATGGTCCAAGTCTTGCAAATCCAAAATCAGCCACTTTAGCTCTCAAGCTTTCTGTCAGAAGAATGTTGGATGACTTCACGTCTCGATGAATAATTTGCTTCTCTGATTCATGAGAAAATGAAAATTACGCATTATTTATTTACTTTTTGATATGAAAAGGCACAGGCTGAAAGTGCTTAGAAACAAACAGAGTAAAGCCACAGATAGCTGAAATTAGTCAAAGGGATAGACCGGGTGTGATTTGGCCTAAACTGAAATGTGAAACACTGACAATAATAGAGTGTGTTTTAATGGAGCCGTGGTTTGGGCCAAAAACCAAGCTAATTCAGTGAGTTTTTTCTCACCTGCATAGAGATGGAGATATGTAAGGCCATGAGCAACGTCAATGGCAATTTCAAGACGCTGATTGAAATCCAGGATTTTGCCACGCCGACCTGCCACAAATAGCAGCAACATATTATTTTTAAGCCTCTAACAATATTGTTGACCATATACTTTGGCAGTTATTATGGTTATGAAAACTTACCGTCCAAATGCTCTCTCAGAGTACCATTCGGTACATATTCTGTAATAATAAGCCGTTCATTTCCTTTATCGACATAACCAAGTAACTTCACAAGGTTCCTATGATCGATCTTGGCTAGAAGTTCAACTTCACAGCTGAACTCAGTTTGCAGATTCTCAAAATGTTCCTAGACAATATTCTTATGTCAACCAAATAGCATACCCAGAGAATAAGATGATTTAAACCTTAAATCATAAAACAAGCACTAAAAACAAGAACTTAAAGTTTTAAGCCAGTTCCAAGTCTTTTACCAATAAAGCCAACATAAAGCCTTAAGCCTAGAGGATAACCATGCCAATATCTGAGAATCATTTTAAAAATAATATAAAAAAAAGAAAGAAAATTTCAACCATGTTACAAGCTATACCCCTAGAATAACTTTAGGGCTTAGGCAAAATTTACCCTCTTTGGTATTCATCAGTCATTAGCCCCAATCGACATGTTTACTGCCTAATAAGTAATCAAGATGGCAGTTCCTTTATACCTAAGTGGTATTCCTTAAGTATGCTGAATCTTATAAGATGCGTTTAGCATACGGAACCAGAGAAGTGAGATGCCTCTAGAATTCAAAGCTTTAGGCTTCATTTGGTTAATACTTTTGGTTTTCTGCGATTTGCATTTTGTTTTCTACTCATTTTTTATATTTTGCTTTTTGCTTTATATTCATTTTTTGAACAAAAAAAAAAATGCAAATTCCAAAAGCATCAATCAAACTAAGCCTGACTGAATTTCGTCTTCAACAAAGAATTCTAGTTTTAGACCAGGGAAAAATACAGCAAGCCACAGAAATTGTTGCAAACTTTTACAGAGTATATTTGGATTGCAAGGATGGTGTTCTTGTAGGTCACTGTTATCTTCCCTAGAAAGTATTAGGTGATGATGAAACCCCGATGCTTCTGTAAGTCTGTTTTAAGCTAGTGTATTAAATAATGCATGTTAAAAGAGAGTCAGTCACTGGACTCTGATTCTAAATATATTTCTCCCCTTCTGCTTCTTATATGTGGCAGTATTTTCAGGAACACATGCAATAGGAGAATCCTCTGATCTCTAATATGCAGATATTTAACTTCTGTTAATGATCTAAAAATTATGTCTTGTAAGTTCGGTGATTCAGAGAAATGATTTACTCGTTTATTCCATGTTGAACATAAATTTTACTTCTAAAACAGAAAACAAGTTTCAAAATTACTCTACTAGTGGGGAAAATATTGCAGAAATAGTATCTCCAAGGTCATATTTACTTACCTTCTTTGCTCGTTTAATGGCAACCACCTGGCCAGAATCTAGCTGGGCCTTGTAGACAGTTCCAAACCCTCCTTCACCTATCTGTAGTGCTGATGAGAAATTACGGGTAGCTCTGGCGACCTGTGTCATATTGAGATGCACTGGCTCCATTCTACTGAGGTTTGGAGACATCGCGAATCTCGAAGGACTAGGTGGTACCCTTAGTGGGCTGGCTGGAACCTTTTCAGAAGTAGAATGAATACTCATTTCCAAAGAGGAAGCTGAATCCACTGCAACAACAGAATCATCTATTTATAACTAGAAACAAAAATAAAATGGGCAAATTATGCTGCATTAATAGAAAAACTAAACTGACAAAGATGTGATAGCAAAGAGGAAATACACAATTGCTATGTTGTTTATAAACTGAAAGAGTAAACTTGAGAACCAAGTTATTATTATTGACCACTCATTTGAACCTTTCATCTACTTGTTGAATCTTATTCACAGCAAAACCTTGTTCAGAACTTCTCTAATTTTGATAAATGCCAAAATTAACGGATACAACATAGGTAAGTTAAGACTTACTTGAATTTGGATCCCTTGCAAGAACAGTGTGAGCAGTTGCTCTCCTTTTCCGATAAAGGCAGGGGCAGATAAAAACGCAAAATGTCAAAAAAGTTCCAGCTGCCGCTATCCCTACTTTGGTTGAGGCCGAATATCTTTTATTATTCTTCCCCTTTGGATTATGATCAGGTTTATCATCATCTTTCTTTGGCTCCTGCAATAATTTTCTTCCTCCTACGGACAAGTCAGCAGCCAAAACCATAATGAATTGATAAAGGTTTCAAAGAAATTTACTTCTGTCATGCACTAAACTTCATAACTAAAAAACTAGATAAAATCCTTTAAATTAGAAATCTGAAACATGTGTTACAGTGCATACCTGATGAAAGGTCCAAACCACAGTAATCAGTTCCAATATAGCCTTCAAACACACAATGATCCGCATAGTGCAACTGTAGGGCCTTACAGAACAAAACTTTATCTACTAGATTGCCGTTCAAATAAAACAACTCATGACCATACAAATTTGAATAGGCTATGTGCTCCGTGCCACAAACTTTCGACTTTACTTCGAGCTCAGAGGCAAAGAATCTTGATAATTGCACAAACAGCAGTAGACTAAATATATAAGCAGCCATTCTCGATGAATTAAGCACTCAACTCCCATAAAAAACTAAATTATAAATGAAGCATCGCTTATTCTGCTAGTTGCTTCCAACTAATGACAAAAGAGTGAAACATGCAAAATCAAGTCCGGAAACCTTAATTAACTTCAATCAATGTTGCCCATACTCAATACAGCAAACCAATGATGCAACGCAACCAAAGATAAACGCCCAATAAACTTGAATCAACGGAGTCAATTGGTCTCAAACAAATCTAGTATTCAACAATCACAGCGAAATATAAACTCAGACGGAATTTGTCTTTTAAGTCCAACTTAACAAAATTAACCAAAGAATGCGTATATCCAGGCAATAAAGGAGAAAAAGTCAAGAGACTTTCTAATTGCTGAATTTTCTTTCTTCAAGGCCAGTTCAAAGTTTGACCAAAGCCTTCACGGTTGAGCTGACTGAATCAACATGATTCATGAAACCCTGATATACTATAGAGCAGACCCCTTCATTTAAAGCCTTCCAACAGTATTTTAAACTGTTAATTCCAACATCTAGCAACCCTGCAAAATTCAATCAAAGCTCTAAACTTTGTGACCAAGTACACTTTTAACTGACAACATATATATATATATATATATAACACAGTTGGCACAGTATTAAGAGAGAAATATAAAGCCTTCAGAACCCCAGAAAACCACAACCGATAAAATGGATTCCAAGGACCCAATTCACCAAATCATGAAATGAAACAAACCCAGACAGCAAAAACATCTAAAAACCTGAAAAGAATCGAACAACAACAAAAAGAACTTGACAGAAACCCAAACCTGAAAAGTGACCGAGGGAGGCTAGTTAAGGGTGAAGCGAAAACAAAGGTGGTCGTTGTTGTTATTGTTGTTATAGTTGCAGCTGTTTTAGCGTGTGAAATATCAAGGAAAGAGCTGACCGGCCTTTTGTTTGAAAGAAGAAAGAAGATCCGACGTGGGCTTTTGACGTAACGAATGACCGTCTACAAAAAAAATAAATAAATAAATAAAGTTACTAGTTGGACAACGTTGACCGTTTATATTTCCGCCATTGCCTGTTTACCCTGATGCCTTCCCCTCAGGGTCATTTAGGTCATTTGAAGGACCTCTTGATAATGATCAACGTCTTGATTTGAGTGAAACTAAGATAATGATAAAGGGAACAAAGTAGAAAATCTGAGGTGAAAACACATGATAATTGTCTCCTCAAAGCAGGTTCCCTGCATGCAAATGTAAAAACGATACCACGTGATATTGAACAAGTAGCAATTGTTACTATAAAATAAATATAACAAATAAATTAATTTATTATTACTTAGAAACTTATAAATTATAATGAAGATTCTAATTATTATCATTATTTTTATTTTGGTGACAAACACAAATAATGTCATCTGGGATGCTTGTTGGTTTGGACAATCATTTGATGGTGGACGTGGGACAAACTGAACACCAAAAAAAGCATGTTTGGTTTTTTATGGCTTTGAGACAAAAACATGTTTTATTCATACCACCCCATAGAAACCGCACCGCTCTTTCCAATTTTTTTTTTTTCCCACAGGTTGACAACTTTGGCCGCCCTTTGTTTTCAATCTTGTATAAATTTTATTTATTGATTAAAAAAATATGAGTCCATTTCTTTGAAAATAACGATACATGCACTGGTATTTTTGTTTTTTAATAATTTCAATTTTTACTAAAAGTGTTGGTCGACCAATCCACACACATTCGACACTTTTCATTTAATTTAAATTTAATATTAAATATTTTAAAATAAATAATTAAATAAAAATATTTATTTAATATTAAAATATTACCAAAAACCTTGATCAAACTCATGGACAAATCTAATCTCAATACTCCTACTTTCATCCTAATTAATGCTTCAAAAATCATTTCTAATTGAACTCTTTTTTTTTTTATCTTCACCTAATAAAAAACTAAATTTTGTGAAAAAAAAAATTACTGTTAGCATAAATTTTTTGCACATGCAGTTTAATTTGATCATTTGAGAAAGAAATTAATATATATAAAAAGTGATTAAATCTTATGTTAGTAATTCGTAAATGAGATTAGCAGAGTGACATGTATTTTTTATGGTGTATTTAAAAAATAAAAAATTAATTAAAAAATGAAACATGTGTCACTACATTAATTTCATTTGTAAAATTAAAAAAAATTAATTGATAGTGTATCAAATAATTTCTCTCTTTATATATATATATATATATATAACTCGATGAGATTTTTTTTCACTTGCATTCAAATTTTGTTTCGAAAAAAAGTTTAAGGTGAAAAAATATTTTATTTTAAAATTAGTGTTACAATTTTATTTAAAATTTTATATTAAATTTATATCTTGTTTATAGAAAAAATTACTGATAATGAGAATTAAACTTGAATCTTAAAAGACAAATTATCTATATTTAATTAAGTAAAAATTAAAAAAAAAAACGTATACTCATGTCAAATGATAAATATTTTGAAGAAATAATGTGTATATGATAGATTGTGGCCTCTGTATTTAATTGGGCATCATGTAACGTTATTTAGGGTTTATTGGACCAAGTATTATACGCAACTGTCCAAATCTTTCACTGAAAAAAGGTTTTTTTGACCGACCAGTCAATACGTAATTTAGACTCGGCCCATTTCATGCAAGCTCGAGTCGTCTTTGACCATTTTCATGGGTTGAGTTTATTCATCTGTTCAAACCTAGGCCCAGCATGTTGCGAAGGGCCATATATATATATATATATACATTTTTTTTTTTAAGTTACCTAAAATAATCTCGATGGAATCCAATGAAATTTATTAACTCAAATCAAACACGAGAATCTGAATAAAGATATTTATATCAAAGCATCAACTAAACTATGGTACCAATTCAAACTTTTCATCATTATACAATTCCCTAATTAATTCATATTGTATTTAAACTTTGTTTAAATATAATAATTATGATTTTATTTTTTAAAATATATCACTTATAATTATTAATTAAAATTAATTAATTATAATTTAAAATTATATAAAATTAATATAAATCTCAAATTTATAATTGGTGTATTCGTATATAATTTTTTATTATAATTAAATAATTATATATTATAATAAACAATTGCAAATTAAATGCTTACATAACACATCAAACCTATATAATTTTTTTATGTGATCGCTGTTTATCATATAATAAAAACTAATTTTCTATTATTTTATGAATCTTATTTTGTTCAAAATAACTTTAATCACCGTCAACAATATAATTAACGTTTGATTGAAACTATAATAATATATTAAAACAAAAGTTGTACTATCATTGGATAACGGACACGGAAACTATAGTAAATAATAAATAAATTAAGTTGGACCATCCTAAAGTTTATGTGTTCCGTTAATCATCTGACACGCATATATGCCAATGCTACTATCAAACAAATAATCATTGTAATGCTAATGTATAAAATAGTGCCTTAGCTCTTTTTTTCTTCTAATGATTTTAAATCCATTTTATTTTTTTATTTTCACATTTAAAAAAATGAAATTATTTAATTATTTTTAACATAAATAAAATTATTTAAAGTAATAAAAATATATAAAATAAAATTTAAAATATTTTTATTATTAAAAATATATTAAAATTTTTTGATATGTTAGGAAAGTAATAATAAATAAGATAACGGGATTTAAATTTATATTTTACAAATTTTTAAAAATTTTTGTAGTCATTAGACCAAAAAAAAAAAACCAACTCTAATTGCAAATTGGTATTGATTAGTAAATAAATTAATAATAAATTAATGGGATTAATGACATAAACTTAAAAAATAGGTATAGAATAAAAAGAAAATACTGAATAAAGTTAAATGTTTGCAACTGAAAATTTTCACCCTATAATTAAGCTATTTGATAATGATTTTTTCCCTTTTTTTTTTTAAAGGATGCTACTTGTTTTGTTGAATTTTGAACTTTTATGTAAAGTTAAAAAGCAAAATTTGTCACAAATGGCAGTAGCATCTACTAACAATTACATTACTTTTTTTTTTCTTTTTGACTTTTGCTATAAAGAACAAAAAGAATAAAGTGAAAAGTTTTTACAAGATACTCTCGAGAGAATCATATCTTAGAATTGAAAAAGAAATTTTGTTTTATTTTTTAAAGTCACGGGCAATTTGGATCAAATTGAATTGAATTTAATTTTTTTTAAAAATAATGTATAGTATTATGTATTTTTAAAATTAAAATTTAATTTGAATTGATTTTTTATTAAAATAAATTTGAATTAAATTTTATTTGATTTAATTTATCACTTTTAAAATTTAATATATTTAAATTTATTTATATATAAAATAATTATTTTATTTTTTAAAAAAATTAAATATATAAAAAATTAATAAAAATATATAATTTAATTTAATTTTTTATATTTTAATTTAAAATTTGATTTAAATTTAATATATATTTAATATTTAAATTTAATTTAAATAAAATAAAAGAAAATCAATTCAAACAGAACACTATAACTTTAAATTAATTTTAATTTTTTGAATTTTTGCTGAAAATATTATTTTCTCATATATATCATGATTCCTAAGTTCCTAGAAAACGTTGAGGAACTAACTAGTATTTATTCTTCTTTAACAAAAAAAAGTCAAAAAGTTATATTATGAAAAAGGAAACTTCGAGGTGTAAAAAATCCAAAAGTTATTTGTCATTAAAACGGTGGCTATGCTTTCCAAAAGCATATTACCAGAATGATTCCTCAATCAATCGCTTCACTGTTTCATCAAACCTATATGAAATTATGAAAACTCAGAAAAAATGGGTTTTTTTTTTTTTTCAACAGATAAACAATTGCATTACAACTAGGCACAAAAATAACTACAAGTATACTATGTTTCTGGTGACAAAAATTTCATATTCCTTATTTCGAGGTTCACTGTAATATCAAACCTTTTTTAACAGTGCCCTTATCCAGTAAGCAATAAACAAGTATCAAAGTTTTAATAACCATCACCTTTCTCTTTTCTCTTCTCTTTCATTCAATCGCTCACCTTTCTATCTCCGTTCAAGAGAATGGCGGGTAATGACTGGATAAACAGTTACTTGGAGGCGATATTGGATGTGGGTCCTAACTTAGACGACGCCAAATCGTCGTTGCTGCTCCGGGAACGAGGGAGGTTTAGTCCAACTAGGTATTTCGTGGAGGAGGTCATCACTGGATTCGATGAAACTGATCTCCACCGTTCATGGGTTAAGGTGCTGTTCTGTTGTTTCTTTACAATCTTTTGGAATATAGAGTAATTGGTTTTTAGCTGATCTTTTTTGGGTTAGTATAGGCTCAAGCAACAAGGAGCCCCCAGGAGAGAAACACTAGATTGGAGAATATGTGTTGGAGGATTTGGAATTTGGCTCGTCAAAAGAAACAGGTTCTTTCTTTCTGGCTGTCTTTTTTTTTTTTATCTTTCCTTGAGATGTGATTTAAGATGTTGAATAGTGAAGTGATGATGATGGCGATGGTGGCGAGAATGGAATATGAAGCATAATAGTTTTTTATTTTTGGATAATTTGGTTGAATTGGTTAACTTGTAGAGTTAGTGAAGTATTTGAGATGTGAGAAAAAAAAGCTAGTCTGGTTGGTTTCTTGAGGGGGTTGATGGGACGTTATTTAATGGATTTATATGGGATTTTCAAGACTAACAAATGCTACTCAGTCAATACCCTTGTTCAAAGAAGAGTATGTTGTATCATTTGATAGCTGCCTTTTGCTTCCACAACCAAAAAGAAAAACAAAGTACATTTACAAGAACAAATAGTAATACTTTTGCATAATAGAAAAAATATAAATGTTACTTTTTCTACCATTTATTTTTGTTTTTATTTTTTGGCAACGTATAGGAAGTAAAAATCAAGTAGCAGAAGCAACAAGCAATCGGAGCCTTAATTATCTTATTGCTTTACTATGGTTGTATACGAATCGCAATCTG